ATATATATATATATATATATATATATAATGACTGACTAATTGACATAGTGAAGTTTAATGGTTTGATTTGTTGCAATGATATGAAATTAGACGTGGCAGTGGAGACAGCAGAGGGGAGAAATTGCTTGTCAAAAAACCACAAGTTCAAGGGTGTATGCTTAAGTGATACCAACTGCGGACGACATATATGCAGAACCCAAGGTTTCAGCAGTGGCAAGTGCAGAGGCTTTTGCACCAAGATTTGTTGAAACCCCTTTTCATAAATCACAGTGTAAGTGGGTGCTATCATATACATATAGTATGTAGTTATGGCCTATGTCTTTAGTTATGGCAGTGTGGTGGAGCAAGTGTGATATCATCATCTAGTTACAATCTTCATGTTCTGTTCACTGTGTAATCAATTTAACTGAGATTATATATAACAATTAATATTAATAGCAATATACTTTGATATTAAACCAGACAAAAAAAAATTGTAATTAATCTATCATCTCTTAAATCTTTTACAAAACAGACAAATAAATGAAACATTTCTGTTTAATTCTAATCATATAATCTAAAATTAAAAAAAAAAAATTATTGTTCATCGTTAGTAGTTAGCGCAAACTATTTTAAAGAAAAATTCAAACAAAAACAGCCCACTGTTCATCCGTGCATTGCGCGATCAAAATCTATTAATTAATAGTGACATAGTTAAATTAGGGTATTTGTTTAGCCATAGTTAAATTATCATTCCTATCTCTTTTGCAGAAATCGAAGTTAGATTTTTTTTTATAAATGTAATTTTAAAACATCAAAATTTAGGAAAAGAAAAATAACCACATGGAAAGATAGCATGGATACTTAAATTATGGGGGAAAGTTTAAAATGAGCCGTGACTGACATTAATATTGGCATTGAATAAATAGATAAAGAGATTTAAAAGTGAGGTCCGTGAGGATATATTATATGCATGAAAAGTAAAAATCATATTCGTCTATATATATTATTTGTATTTATAAACTTATTTCTATATATTCGTTTATATTATTAGTATTATATGTAACAGAAAAAACACTATCAATACTATTGCAAAACATAACTGCTTTAATCAAAGCAATGAGATTCTGGCGCTCTGGAATTTGATCAAATAATTTAATAAAGGCATACTATATTTTGAGTTGTTGACTAATAAAAAATATAAGCAATGCTAGTTAAGCCTTGTTGAACGTTTTTAATTGATTTTTTTCTTCATCTCTTTTAATTTAATTTTTATTTTTAGTTTTATATTGAATTTTAATATTTTTTTTAAAAGTTATCAATAATTAATTGACATAACTTTATATTATGATATAAATTTAAAATATAATTTATATGTTCAAAATATTTATTTATTTTAAATTTTAATTATAGTATAATTTGTATATTTTAATATATTTGTTAACTATATAATTGTATAAAAGTAAACATTTATCTTGTATACACTTGTATGTAAACTTCATAATGATTCAATATATATAAAGACTTGAGTTTCAGTTGCATTGGAGGAATTGAGATTTTCAAAATTTGATTTCTCGATATTGTTTACTAGATTTATATACAATGGGATCGTACTAAACATTGGCATCCAACAGCACTTATATAGGTTCATCCAAACTCCTAAGGCCATTGAGAAGAAGGCTAAGTGCATAGACTTGAACACTCTCAAGTACTGGATTTTGTTTTTGGCACTTTCACTGTGAAACAAAAACTCCACTATAAGCAACAATATGTTGGCAAAATCATGTGACCATAATTGATGAATGCCAAAAACATATAGGGAACAAATAATAGAACCAAAAAACGATATTAAATAGGTAATAAGATAGAATACCAAGAACATACGCACAAGCAATGGTGGACTTACAGTATTTATCGCATTTGAAAATAGTTACATTAATTTTTAATATTTTACACCTCTATTGTTATACTTTTTAACTCCCTGAATTCATTTTACACTGCTATCAAGCTAAAACCTCAATGTACCCACAATAAACGAACCTAAACGGATTCAAGCTAAAACCTAAACTAACAAGAATTTTAACCCTATTATAGCTTATATTTCAACTCTTATTTTATTTTAATTATTTCAAAATTTTAAAAGTATTCCTAAAAATGCTAAAATCAAACAAAACATGTTTTATATGTTTTCATTAATAACATTTTAGGTTTAATGTTCCTAGAGGTAATTCTTAAAAATGCAAAATATCAAACGTACACCTATAACGGTGGGTGCATATATATTTAAATGATTAAATATGTTTTTAATTTTAAATTTTTAGTCCTTAAATAAATTTTATGTAATTTTAGTCATTGAAATTCTTTTATAAACAAAAAAAAAATTGATGTCAGGTACTTAAATCTTAATGAGAGAAAAAAATTAAAGATTAAAAGTGAAAATTGACAAAATTTTATAGATTAAAATTAATAAAAGAATTCAGATAATAAAAAGAAAAATTGACAAAAATTTAGGTACTACAAAAATATATAATCCTTGTTTTAAGAACTATATATTTAAGAGAGTTATACGCACGTACCTAGAGACAAATCTAAAAGGAATAGGTAAATAGAGATGGTAATTGGAGCTAGTAAATACAAGTTTCAATATCTTTCATTCCCTTCTCATATTTGTTAAGTATAAAATTTGCATTTCTATCTCCATCTCTATCGAATTTCAGGTATATTCATATTCACTCAAAAATTAAATTTTTTTGCAAAAAAAATATAATTTTTTAACATTGAGTAATTAACAATTATAATATTATATTAATTAATTTTTATTTAAGATAAATTTAAAATAGATTAAAAATTATATAAATGTCAAATAAATTTTTAAAGAAATAAATTATGTTTCTAGAAATTTAAAATGGGTACAAATACGAATTATGTTTGTATATATTCACCCCTATCCTGTACTTGATCAATAAATTTAATATTACTATACTTATATCCATACTCGATCAAATTAAGTATTCTTTGTCAAAATTGAGACGAATTTAGATATTACTGATGAATATGAATTTACTTGTGATCCCTACAAGTAAGGATTTTTGCCCTCATACCTTTTAAACCTTTAGAATTTTTTATAATAATAAATATTATATTTAATATATGATAGTATTGAAAGATTAATTAAAAAATAATACACTATTGATGATTGTAGGATTTAAAAGAATAATATTTATAATTTAAATAGATAACATAATGTATTTAATAATAATTATTTAAACGTATTATTAAAAAAAATCCAAACCCATACTGTCCTAGTAAATGTTGTGTTAACAATGAATGTGGTGCCTTATAATTTTGAAACATCATATCATTTGGAGGTGACTTTACTTATAATATGGGTCCACTACACTAAAATTAGTTTTTCGTGGCAATTAATTTATTATTTAGCGGCCATATAAATGGTCATTATTTTTTTACCAGCATTTAAATAATGGCTGGTATATCTAGTGTTGTTAATACTATTACCGACATTTATATAAAATACCGGTAAATATCTACTAAATTGTCGGAAAAACTTTTTTTTTAGTGGCAATTCTAGTAGCCATTTTAAAGGCAAGTTATTTTTTTCAATTGTCTCATTTACTTTAAATAATTTATTCCTACAATTTCTTTTTCTAAATTCATAACTTATATTTTTTTATCTCTACTCGATGAGAGATTTGTAAGATGAGAGTTATCTTTTATTTATATAGTTTTTAATTATCTGATCGCTTAATATATTTTATATTTATAATTTTAAAGTTTCTCTCTAATTGTTTTATAGCACTATTGAACTTGGTAACAATGGATGATTTGATACCAATTTAGAATAGTGAATTATGAGTCAAACCTATAAAATGAACCTATAAGGTGATAATTATTACTCACATATATACTGTTTAATTATCTTATCTCTAGTCGATGTGAGACTTAAATTTTTTCTAATTGTCGCTAATAATAAACTTTAATGTAATATAAATACATTTTTAGTGACTATAATATATTAGCCATTAATATTTTTATATATGACAATAATTAAATTATTATCATTAAATAATTGTCATTAATAACAAATTTTGTTGTAATATCATGGTCACTGTACTAAACGTACCCGCCACCGGTTCCAAGTTCCAACTCCCAAATATGAAAAAGTTTATCTAAAAGGGCCGAAATAAATGAGACGCTTCTTTGAACACATACTAGCTACTATCATTTGGAGCTAATAATTTTTACTATATATGGATAGGATAGAATTCTCTGTATAGCATTTTATGATTTTTTTTTTCTTGGTTCCCGCACACCATACACACAAAGTTCATTTAATTGAATTATTTAATTCTAACAAGATATCATGAAATCCGATTCTGCCTATCTACTTTGTTTGGTAGAAGATTTTGCAAACTGACGGATATTATAAAGTGAAATGGAAGGTTCCAATTAGGCACTTGATTCACAAATGGAATTCGACAACCCATATAGGATGTTTCTATAATCAGTTTAGAATTATGGAATACATGCCACGTGGCGTTGAAAGCAGCAAATTATACTGGTCTCTCACTTTTTTGAGTGTTCATAACCTAAGCCTTATATAGTTATTATTTTATTTTTGTTGAAGAGTATTGTTTTTTAATCAAAGAACGTGGAAAGAAACATGTGATTAGAAATTTGCAATTTAAAAATAAGGTGAAAAAGTTGAAAAGCATGAGAATAGAGAGTGTAAGTGAGCACACAAATGAGTGGGCCACTCACTCCAATGGACAAGGTTGGAAAACCATGGAACTAAAGGTGGTTCACCAACCTCGCTTAATTAATATGCATTTCTTTTTTCTTTAAGTGCTTCTAAAAGCTAGCAAAATTCACATTGTCGGATCAAAATGACATGACTGTGTTGGATGCCATAGGATGTGTTGGTTGAAGTTTGAAAATGACATTTTTGTGTGAAGATACTCATTAGTCATGAGTCATCAGTGGCAATATTATGTAATAAAGAGATAAAGGGATGCATGTGATGTGTTTTTGCATGAACTCACGTACTATTACTTCCATATCGCATTACAAACAATTTCGTTTTCTAGATAGGGACATTAATATCATAAAGAAACAACACACTCGTCGCATGAATGAATTTGGTAATGGAACCACCCAAAAGGGAAAAATATTAAAATACACGTCGCACGATTCAACTGGGAAATCTCATCTATTCAAATTAATTACATTCAAATGTAATAAAATAAAAACTATGGATTGTAAATAGAAACTTGAAAGAAAAGGTATGACATGTAGTTTTGTTCCCGACTTAATTAATTAATAAGCCAATTTGTAGTCTTCAAGGCAAGTTCAATATCAATTTTATGCTTATGTTTTATTTTTTTAGTGAGTTCGTGAAATAGTTGGTTAAAAGAAAAGGACATTGACACGAAATGTTATTCTCAATAATGGATTGATGGTAGGGGATGGTTACTCATATCGAACCTGAATAGACAATATATGAGTGAGCTTGGTGCAAAGTTAAAGTCAAAGATTGCTTCTAGAATTCTTTTCTATGAACAATCTATAAAGTAATAAGAAAACAAATAGTTAGAAAGAAAGTGAAAAAGGTTGAAGACCGCACATAAAGGGAAAACAATTAAGTATCAAATACGAGTTTCGGAAATCCACTAGGTCAATGTGGTAGCGGAGAAGTTAGATATAATTTATAAAAACTAAAAAAAATATATTATTTTCTAAGCAAGTGTATTGAAAGAAAAAAAAAAAAAAAAAAGGGTGTCTTATATCGATTAAAAATAAAGTTAATAAAAAAATGTATAATTGGGAGATAATAACTTACACAGACAACGTTATAAAACTAAACCTGAGGACCCCTTTAACAAATTAATTTACAATAATCAAACCGCAGTATTGTGAAATTGTGATGCACTTTTTTTTTTTTAATTTATTTTATCATACTGCCATTGTTTTTAATAGTTAGTTCATACTTCAATTAACTTTAACTGATTGAGATGTTCATTTAAGAAAATAAATTCCTTTTAAATTTTAATACTTATTTTTTTATCAACAAAGTTTGAATTTAAAACTCTCCTCAGCATAAATTAAATTTCTTTTCATTTAAATTAACACTTATTGGTTATAATAATAACACAATATTCGGCTCAACACATAAAGATTCTGAAATAAAAAGGAAAATTATAACTTTAATTTAAAATGGATCTTGTTAGTGTACCAGTCTATTTTGTTTGAGAATTTGAATTCCTGTAATATTTGGTTTGTACGATAATGAGCGTTTTACATTTTGAGTTTTCAAAATCATTTTAGTATCGATTTTAAAATAAGTAAAAAATGTTTAGCGTTTTTGATAAATGTAATTGATGTTTGGTATGGGACCTACAGTTAAATATTTAAAACGTTTTCACATTCATACAAAAATAATTTATACTTAATTATTTAAATTAAAATATTTTTAATACTAATTATTTTCAAAATTAATATTATTAAACTCTAAGCCAAATGGACCTCTGCTACATGGTTTTAAGAACACTGATTAAATAGTAATTAATAATATTCACCAAAAAAATAGTACTAATTATTAATATAAATATTTTAAATCAATTAAAATTATTAAATATGTTTTACTTTCCAATGTAATAAATATTTTAGTTATTTACGCTAATTAGTGCCTCACTCATAAACAAAGCACATTTAAAATATATCTGGATATTCTTAAAAAAAATAGTGTGTTTTCAGATTCAGATTATAATGTATAAAAGAATATTAAGTACGAAACATTTTAACCAATTCATTATGAATTGACATGTTTGCACTTTATCAAACAAATATTACGTTTAAAATAAAACAAAATTTTTGATAGAAATCAAGCACCATTGACTAAATTGTTTATGTATATAGATTTCTTAATCTCATGTAGTAACAAGCTTTTTTCAAAGAATAATAATTGTATAATTGGTTTGTTTCATCTTTTTGTTTTTAAAATAATAAGATGTAATTATATATATTAAAGAAACACCAAAGCCTCGGTGGGAGTAGTAAATATCTCTATATGAATAGTATCCTAAAATAATTAAGAAACGAAATTTGTATAAAATATATAGAAAATGTTAACAAATAACAATATACTTCTTTATCTCATTTTATGTGTCCTTTATTGCATATTTAATATTTCTTTATCATAAATGTTTTTTTAAAAAACATTTATTACTACTTTATTCCTTTTTAATACTAGTTTAAGATTATTATACATAAATTAAGAAATGTAATAAATTTTATGGTCTTTCATGATTTTTATCTCTTTATGAGATTCCTTTATTTTTTCTTTGTAATAAATGTATCTTTACTTTCAATGTATACATTAAAGTAAAATTTAAGTGAAATATAAGAGTATAATTAATAAAAAGTAATTAATATTTTCTTAAACTTTGAAAATGACATTTTTAATAATGTATACTTTGTCTATTCTTTATTATAAGTAAAAATAAATAAATATTTTTTAATTTTTAAATATAAATAAATTTTAACTACTTTTATCTTATTTATTGATATTTTTTTTAAGAAAATATCTCTTCTTTAATACATGACTATTCAGTTATACTACTTTTAATATTTATAATAATAAAAAAAGATAATTTTAAGAAAATATTATAAAATTAATAAACTTAATACAAATAACTAGTTTTTTTTAATATCATAAAATTAATTTACAATTTAAAAAAAAAACAGATGGAGTAAAAATTAAATACCATTTAAAAGAATTTAATGTAAAAAATAAATACCAATATTGTAGAGATGATTATACAAACAACTCTTGCATATCAAATAATGAAAGTCACGTACATATAGATGAATAAATAAAAAAAATAGTAAACAACTCTTCTCTAATTGTAATGATAAAGATGCTCTAATCTCATTATATCATTGTAAATTTTATGAGAGTGGACCATTTGATATCTTCCCTTGAATGGCAAATACATTATACAAAATATATTAAGTCAATGCATATTTTATATGAGAGTGGACCATTAAATCTTATTTAAAAAGTGAGGGGCCTTTTTTAATTTATTTTGAATTGCCAATAAAAAAACACATTAAGTCATGTAAATTTTTTTAAAATTAAGTAAGCACATGACATTAAATATTAGTTATTCATGTATATTTTTGGTGAATTTTGCATATATATATATATATATATATATATATATATATATAAATTCAAAGTAATAAAAATACATAAAACTCTTTTTCTAATTGTAATGATGAAGATGCTAAGTTCATCAATGTTAATAGTTAATTAGAGCAAATAAATTAAAGCAGGCGTATTTATTATTTATTTATTTTTGGGTGAAAATATGTTTATTGGTAGATAAATATCTCCATCATATCTTTGTTGGCATTGAAACCAAATTGACTAATTTAGTTGCGATGACAGCACAGCAGAGCGTAGCAGCTGTGCTTGTGTGCGGAAATCTAAAAAAACGGGAAAAAAATCCTAAAATAAAATGTAAATATGTTTATTCATTTAATACAGATGAAAATAACCGTTGATAATGTGTCTTTATGAAAAGTAATAAGTTTTTTTTACGCCATGAAAAGTAATAATTATTAAAATTAAATTGACCCTTGACAACTGGTGTGTTTCTACACAAAATAAAAAATAAAAAAATTAATATTGAGTTAAAAAAAATAAAAGTAATTTTAAATTCTAATTTTTCTACCAACATTAATTAACACAAATAATAGCGATTGACATATATAATAGTAATTTATATCTCTTAATCAAATTATTCAGTATTTAAATTCTGACATTTAATATAAAATTAATAAATTATATTGAAAGAATATTTATTTTTGTATGTGTTCATAATATCATAATTTTAACAGAGATTAGTTATTTTAAGTTATTAATATTTTGTACCAATATAATAATTATAAAAATATAATTTTAATCCTTTTCCAAAAAAAAAGTAGCTTTAAACCGATTAAAAAAAAGTGTGAATAAAAGAGATAGGGCTAGAAAAGCAAATTGTGGAGGATATATAGCAAAATCCAAAGAGGTTGAAAGACATAAAAAGTGGAGCTACCTACCCATTGGAGCACAAAATTGTAACCTATCATCTTTTCTCACCAACTCAGTCAAATAATTTCCTTCTTTGTTATTTTGAGAAAATGAATATGCCTAAGTGAGTCAATTGTCCCCCACCACCCACCACCCTTTATATTCCCTCTATCTTCTTTCTCCAATCTCCTCTCTCACTCTTTCTATTACTCTCTCTCCTCTCACACAAATCTCACTCACTTAATGGGTAGAACTCCTTGTTGTGACAGAGAACACACAAATAGAGGAGCTTGGTCCAAAGAGGAAGACGAACGCCTCATTAACTATATCAAGCTTCATGGGACAACCAATTGGAGATCCCTTCCCCAATCAGCAGGTTTTTTGCCAGATCTGTTGTCAGAATTGAAATTTCATTTATATAAAATTGCATGCAACTATTTTTTATTTTTATTTTTTATTTTTCTTACTTTTGATAGAATTTAGATACAATTCTTCAAATATTTTTTGTGCTGATCTTTTATCAAATTTGAAATTTCATTTTAAAACAATTTTATGCAATTTCTTTTAATACTTTTGTGTTATTTTTCTGGATCAAAATTGAAGTTTTATTTTGATAACAATAGATCCTTATTTTGATAACAACACAGTAAAAGTTTATATTAAAGATCAACATAGATCCTGATATAAAACTTCAATTTTGATAAAGAAAACATAAAAGGATGTTCATCTAAATTTTGTCTTTTATGAATTCGTCATCCTTCAAAATATATATGTATATATATAGTTTTATTGATCGTGGGAACACACAGGCTTGCTTCGATGCGGCAAAAGTTGCAGACTCAGATGGTTGAATTACCTAAGACCCAATATCAAGAGAGGGAACTTCACTGTAGAAGAGGCCAACCACATCATTCACCTCCATGGCTTACTAGGAAACAAGTATGAGCACAAACCATTCTTTTTTTAATTTTTTATATTATTCATGTAACCGTCACATCATATAAACTTGAGTGTCTTCTTCACAAAAATAATTGTTTAATTATATCAATTCTATGACAAAGTTGACAACAAAACTCGTGCGGATGAAGTTTTTTAAAAGCTTTTGGTTTATGCATGAATTAATTTGGTGTTTATTAAATGACTTGTCGAATGAACTACATAAAATGAACACTCACCATTAAATGACTTTACATGATTGTTGTGATTAAGGGTTGATGATATTTTGTGTTATTGATTTCTTAGATGGTCTCAAATAGCTGCAACTTTACCTGGTCGAACTGACAATGAAATAAAAAACTATTGGAACACATGCCTAAAGCGTCACCTCATATCCCTTGGCATCGACCCTGTAACCCATAATCCATTGGAAAAGATCACAACAACTCCAGAAGCTAACTCTCAAGCGTCCGGGTCCGGGGTCACCACCACAAGCGACATCCACTATTTTGATGTTTTTCTCAATTCAAAGGTGGAGATTAGCACTGATTATGCAGCTGGTGAAGAAGACTCAAGTAGCAACAATGTTGTTACTACCAGCATAGAGGAAGTTCATCCTCCACTTATCAACTTGGATCTTTCCTTAGCTCCACCCTCCCAACCCCAAGAGCAACAAGAACAAGTTTTGTCCCAACGTATGTGCTTGAGGTGCGGTCTAGGGTTGCAAAGTAACCCATCTTGTAGTTGTCAAGCCATGGTTTCTGTTGTTACTGCACCTGTTAGTAACAATGTTGAGTATCAGTTTTTTGGGATTTGAGGTTTACAAGTGAGGCTTAATAAGTTGTCCTTAATGACATTTGACAATGGCCAAGGATAGTAGTGGTAGAAAGAACTCTTTCAGAATTTTTCGAATGACTTTGCTTTCAATGAATTGTTTAAATTAAAACTTTGGGTTTATTTCATATATATGTCAATTTATTTCATATATATGTCAATGTCAATTATAAGTGCTTATAATATGTGCTTTCGTTTTGATACACTGTTGCGCATGCTTGTACAAGGGTTTCTACTTTGCCCCGACGCGTTAATTTCTTTAGTTGTTAATGGTGGAGATATAAAACTAATGTAGAATCTTAACCTTAAATAGTTTTAATCAACTTTTCTCTTTGTCTTGGACCTCATGGCCTTGGACGTGCGCGTATGTTTATATATATTCTTTAATGATACAAGTAAATATGTTCTTTTTATTTGACATGTTCAATAGAGAAAGTGTTGTTAGTACAGATCTACGATAAATCTCTCACCCCTTCAAATTTTAGTAATTTTTATGAATTATTTTGTATAATAAATAAATATAGTTAATGTTAGGAATTTACAAAAAAAAAATTATAATACGAACTTGAGTTTTTAAAACAAAATTCAAATTCCATTACGCTAATTAATTACATATAAAAGTCTAAACTTACGTTAATTATACATGTAAAAATCTAAATTGTGTCCAGAAAAGTTGAGGCTTAAGGTGACTTTTTTAAGATACACTTATTGATTATTAAATTTTTATATTAATTTTATAATATTTAAGCTATGAAATTAGTTATTAATATTTTATAATTAAGTAATTATAACATTTCATTTTCAATAGATAACACTGTTAGTCTTAGATAGGATTTAATTAATTTTAATTTTAAAAAACATTTTTTAATTGTAACATTTGTTACAAGTATTTTTTAATAATATTCTATAAAACAATATATACATTTGGAAAAGAATATAATTTTTTTTATATAGCATAATTCTTATATTGGAGTGATAATTTCTTCTTTAAACACTTCTTTCAATACTTTTAATTATGATAAATCAAGACCGTCAATATTAAAATATTCATCAAATCTTTAAAAAGTAATAACTAATGATTTACAATAATATCTATATGTATGTTTTTAGACCGTAAAACTTTACTAATATAACTATCAATAAATAAAATATTATACCAAATATTCATTCTTAATAAAATTTCAAAATTTTTAATTTTATAGATTATTAAATATAGGATCTTCGTATCTTGATAATTGAATTAAAGCATCTTTTATTTTTTATATTTGAAACTGTATCGCTTCAACACTTTCAATCATACTTTTTCATTGAGTTTGGGACAAAGATTTTATACAAAAATTGATTTTCTTACAAAAATTTCCATCATTTGGTAGATGAAGCAAATAAAAAAAATGAGTATGTTGTAAAACTAAAAGAAAATTAGTTCTATTAGATAATTAATTAATTACATCACATAATGCTAAATTCAAATTATATGGCATCCTCATGATTTATAAAATGCTCCTATAGATTTATATCTAACATTCTTTTTTGCACTTCTTGATTTTTACCCTTCGTGTTAGATTCGTTGTTATATCCTTGTCCCCTCATATTGTTGATATTAAACTCATATTTTTTTTTATAAAAAAATATTAATAAGTTCATTAAAAAGACTTTTTACTAATGTATCATTAACTTTTAAAAATTCTAAAAAGTATTCCTCTATTTTTACTAGAGAATCCATAATAATATCAACACATCTTAAATAAAATAAAAGTTATTTGTTCCTAATGACTTGGAATAGGAATACAATCAAGAATAACAGAAAAATATATATTGTAGCTTTATTTTTTTATCATTAATTTTTTATTTAAAAGACTAACAATTTTATAAATTTGTTTTGTATAGTATTACTTAAGTAATGAGTCTGAATTTCACCATTTTTAAGCGCTTGCTTAACATGATATTGTATAATCGGATCAAATTCTTCAAGTATTTCAAACAAACTCAAAAAACTACCATTACTTTATATATATTTTCTCATTTATCCTACGAAAAAAATATTGTTTTTAGAAAGATGTTTGACTAAAACAATAATTCTAAGTGAAACTTTTTCACAATGTTCCTTTTCTTTATTAAGTTTTTACGTAATTTTTATCAATTGTATTTTTTTTTCAATATTTTTTTCTAATTCAATCCATTTGATGATATTAGTGATATGTTCATGACTTTTCTCATAACTTTTGAGTTTGGAGTCAAGATTTTTTCAATATCTAGTTCCTTGATTTACTAGTTGACTAACACCACTCAAACAAAATAACTTACATTTTTACAACAAAAACAATACACTCGTAAATCTCTAGAATAAACTAGTCATTTCCTATTATATTTTTCTCCATTTGAAAATATTCTTTGACAAAAAAGATGAATAAAAATGTCTAACATTTTTATCATTTGGAAATTGAAAATTATCACTAATTGTTCCATTTTCTATTATTAAATCTCTAAATTTTTCATCAATATTTTTCCATTGTCCTTGTTAATTTTTTTAGGAAATTTATTTAATGTGTTATGCCCAACATTTACTTCTAATAAATTATCTTCATTTAAATTTTTAATTACCTGTACTTGATTAAAATTAGGACTATCAATATTTTTAAAGAACTTCTTATTGTAATCCTTCTCAGTTGTATGTAATACCAAATTTACAAAGAGCACATTGTTGAGCTTTAATTAACTCTTTTATTTTTCTATTTTTCTCTAATTTTTTCAAACTAGATTCATACTTTCTACTTGATATGTTATACTACCACAATTCAATGAAATAAAAAAAAAAGTAACAACAAAAAATATAATTAAAAGATTGCAAAATAAATTAGGGAAATTGATGAATTGATATAACTTGAAAATGATAATAATTATGTGTTGATATTATCCACAACAAAAGGATATTAAAATAATTAAAAAGAGAGAAAAGAATGACATGAATAAAACAACTTGAAATAAAAAAAAAATAGACTTACAAATGAAAGTACTCACTTGAAAGGAATGACATTTAATTAAGTGTGCAAAAGTCTTAATTAATCACAAAATTATTAAATAAAATATCAAATACATGAAAATATATGTGATCCTAATTCCTAATACATTGCCCTTTCGAGTTAAACTAGATAGACCATAAGTGCGATCATAGTTGAGCATATAAAAAAATTAAATATGTTTATAGCTTAAATTTTTTTGTCAATTTTTACTTTTAGTTTCCAAATAATTATTTTATTAGTTTTATTATTGATTTTTTTTTTATTTTTACTTTTAATTCTTAAAAGTTTTCTCCTGGAAACATTTTTAGTTCTTAATATTAAATTTTTTTGTTCATGAAAAAAAATTAAGAACAACAACCAGTAAAAATTTATTTAAGAAAAATAAAAACTGACAAAAATTTGATAATTAAAAACATTTAGTCCAAAATAAAAATATTTCTATGTTTTGGGCATTCCATAACCTAATAGTAGAAAATTCTCCAATTTTTTTATTTTATCAAACTTAGGATGGACTTAGTTCTACTAAATTTCTTTAAGATCAGTAGTGCACTCTACTTCTCTAGCTAACATATAAGCCAGAGTTGGCTTGTCTATATGTGAAACTGACATCTCAGTTCGTAAAACTACCTAAAAGTTCTTTGCAATTATTGATTATGTCTCCAAATTCTGTTTGCTTGAGTTGCTGATTAGTCATACAAGAAAAAAAACACAATGATAGTCGACTTTAAACTTTAAATGTGACACTTCCCACATCAATATCCTTTGCTCAAAGAAGAGCTTCTAGAAGGTTGATTGATCTGGCCTTCACGAAGGTTCCTCTATGATCTCTGAGGCATAAGCCTATGCGAAGGTGGGTTCTGAAAGGTGGCTACATCTATGTTGCACTTGAGGGAGCCTACGTGAAGGTACTTCCAAAAAAACTTATTGGCATCTCTTACATGTTTCTTACTATGTCCTTTGTGCATGGTCCTGTTCCAATTTGCAAGGTTGACTTTGGCTTTTGTGAATAGTGTCATTTGTGCTCAATTCCATTCCTTTCCAGATCTTAGCATTCCTTCTCTCCCACATACACCACAAGGTCATAACAAACTCAACTGCTTCTTCGGATTTCCCTTTTCGCAACACCTCGAAAATCGCATTTTGCCAGCTGTTTGCATGATCCAACATTCCTCGCACCTCAGTAAAATTACTGGTCGACCAAAATTGTTGGGCTTTAGAGCATCCTACAAAAACATACCAAGAGTTTTCAATGAGATTATCTCAAAGAACACAACTAATAGGGTACACCTCTGACCTCGTGATTGCAAGTTTGATTTAGTAGGAAGACAATCTTTGCGAGCTCTCCAGCGGAGGAAGGTTTTAACTTTCACAGGGACATTCAGCTTCAATTCTCCTTGAATTCCAAGGTGATCAACTTTCATCACATTTTCCATGTAGCCTTTATATGCTGATCATAGTATATTCCCCATCATGAGACCAATTCCATATCCTTCTATCATCCCTCTCAGTGGAGATAAGAGGAATATAATAGATAGCCTTCTCAAGTTATGACTTTCGTTTGATCTAGGAATGGAAGTGCATCTACTATTTGGGTTATTCTTTAGCCAAGGCTCATCCCAAACGGGAATGGAAAGACCATTGCCGATCTTCCAACGATAGCCAGCTTTAATAAGATGTTGAACAGACCAAATGCTTCTCCAAGAGTAGCTCGGGTTGTGTCCAAGAGTTGCAGAAAGAAAGTCACCATTAGGATAGTATTTGGCTTTAAGGATACGACTGATGAGAGATTCTGGATAGGAAATAAGATGCCTGGCTTGCTTACCAAGGAGAGCAAGGTTGAAGATATGCATACTTTTGAACCTCATGCCCCCCAAATCTTTTGCCATGGTAAGCTTTTCCGACGAAGCCAGTTTATACCCTTCCTTTGACCATGCCTAGTACCCCACCAATACCAATTTAACATCCTTTCCAGCTCATCCCTCACAGAAGGAGGAATAAGAACATATGTTGGGATTGCTTGGAGCACAACTTTGATCATAAATTCCTTCCTAGCTTTAGCAAGAGTTATATTATTCCATGATTGAATCTTTTGCCAACTTCTATCTTTGATGACGTCTCTTTCTTATTGCGACCAACAAGAGAGGGCAAACCTAAGTATGTCCCAATATTATTTGTACTGGTAAGGGCAGGTAGTGGCGTTCGGCCACCACCCTGTCGGCCGCCGAATGGCAGAACCAGGTGGCCAAACGCCAGTCGGCCACCAAGATCGGCCCATCATTACTCATTGCCCTTAATCCATGATTAGGGGTTAATTAGCTGATTAAGGTGTATTACCTAATACGGTAAATACGTTGCAGGGCTCATGGGGTCCAGGGTCTATAAATGTCAGTATAAATAGCTCAGGTCAAAAGGTAACGTCACTGTTCATTAATTATCCTAGATATTCGTGCTTGTCCTGACTTGAGCGTTGGAGTGCCTTTTGCAGGTATCAACCCTTTCACCAGCTTATCGGATCGGAGCTCTCGTTCGGCCCTCAAATTACGAGAAGATCACTGGTGTACCCCTTTAGACAGGTACATTATCACATGCCTTAACACCCAAAATTCTAGTCGTGGCATCCTAACTTCCCTATTAGCATTTCTACTATAGAAATTATATATTTTTCAAGGTTGATAGCTTGTTCCGAAGCAGCTTCATATATTTTCAATAAATTGGCAATAGTTTCCTCTTTTTTGGCTGTGGCGTGAAAGAACACGAAACAGTCATCTGCGAACATCAAGTGGCTGACATGGGACGCATTCCTACAAATTTGGACACCATGAATGTCACCGTTGGTTTTCGTTTTTTTAAGTAGGCCCGAGAGTCCCTCCATGCTAAGTATGAAAAGGTAAAGCAATAGAGGGTCACCTTGCCCGAGACCTCTACCCGGATAATGGAAGCAACAGCCTCCTAGTTCTTAATCACATCATACTGAACGGATTCAAAACACATAGCCATCCATTGAATCCACCTACAAAATTTAAATATATTTTTAATCTCTCTAATATATTATTTCTTTTTAATATAGTCCTTATAAAATTAATTTTTAAAAATAATCCTAAAAATATTTATTTTTTCATTTTAGTCTTTGTTATTTATTTTATTTCTTATGATATATTTACTTTTTGTTTTCATTTTAATCTCTAATATTTCATTCATTTTGAATAAGTCTCTTTTAGAAAAAATAATAGTACATATTAAAATATTACAAGAATAAAAAATAATATTATTATAGAACAATTCTAACATAAAAGGATCCTTTAGGTAAGGATTTTAATAAAACAATAACTATTATGAATATCAAATTATTTATAATTATTGAAGATTTCATATTGATTAATGATATGATTAATATAATATATAAGTAAAACAATCCTTACCTAAAAAGTTAATTTGTAAGGTTTAATTAGATCCAATTTCACATTCTAAGATGATATCAAAATCTATACCACCAATTATTGATTATTATTAAACTTATTATATCATTCATTATCAGACCACTTATCGATGTTTAGTCCTTTAAACTTTATATTTGATATGTCCAATCATCAACATAAAAAAGTGTTAAAAATCTCACACAAATTAGTGGTATAACCAACATAGTGTATATAAGTGAAAAACATTCCAAACTTAAAAATTAATTTTATAAGATTAAATTAAGACCAATCTAACATTTTTTTTTGTTCGTTCCTAGAATATCCACCGCCGATAGCAGTGACTAATCTCATCGCTATATTAGAAGCACCTCAAAGGATAGGATAGCTAGTCCCAACATTTAACGCGACTGCATACACAAGACAAGATTCAAATCCCTGACCTTGTTTAAGCGTTGATCAACCCCTACCGCTGAATCACACACTTGAGATTAAACCAATCTAACATTTAAAGAATTATCAACAATAAAAAAAATGTCGCATTATAAAAAGCTTTATCTATAGATAGTATGCACAACATAGAGCACATTTGGTGAATCAATTTTTCTGTAGAATTTTTTGTTAAATAACTAAATTATTAATTAGGTAATCAGCTTTTCTGATTTAGAACTGCTTTGAATCCAAGCATTCATTGCAACCAATAAGAGGAAAATTGCAATTGACACAACACTTTGTTTTTGTCAAAAGGAGAAGATAAAGTACACTAGTCGAACATGAAAGAAAAACGTTTACATTAGTCACATGTTTGAGCCTCTGGTGGGACGGCACACATGATTCCTTTTCCGAGAATGCTCTTGACTACGGTGCTGTGTCCGACATGCATATCCATACCAGCAATCTTCTCTTGCTGATGCATCTGGTGGAAGAAGCTTTTCGTAGCATACAAAAAAATAAATAAAATAAAAAAGGGTTGGTCAACTTTGCAGACTAAGTTGAAAAGAAAGAATAATGTATCACAAAAAAATAATCAGTGGTTATCTTCTATCCATTCAGATTTTAAAAAATGCAATCGGTTTCTCACATATAGTGAGGACTAAATTCTCCAATACTGTCTTCGTTATTGGCTGAAATTCCCGTAAAATTCACTAGACAAAAAATGTATGACCTACTACATAGAGAGTAAAATTCTCATAAATTTCGAACTACCAACAAAGAGGAGTTCTTAAGAAAGTGTGTTGATAGCATAAACAAACTGATAAATAGTTCCAGTAGAGCTAGAATCTGTTGATTAGCATAATGCAGAGTTGAAGGTACTTACATGTTTGGGTATAGAGACGCGAAACCAGTACAGGAGAAATGACACCAACTTGTGATAACAATCACTGCATGATTACAAGAATGCATTATGAATATGGAAAGATTGAAATGACACTCAGACTAGACTCCACAGTATACTATAGTCAGTTTTTGTTTTCCATCATTATAGATAATTCCACTTTCAGGACAAAGCTTACCGGCATACAAAAGTTCGAGCAGTAATCATCTCAGCGTTATTCAGCATCATTCCTGTTCTATCTGCAAAGAGAAAAAGGAGACCAATGTGTAAGTCAAGATTTGTTGACACTCAGTGTACATCAGATCAATTTACAGCAATGTGCAGGGAATGTAAAACAGAAACCTTAGGGTGTGTTTGGTTTGTTTTTCCATTTTAGTTGATATATGTTCAATACAATTATTTCATTATAATTTCATTTCACTGTAATTTCATTAGTGTTATATTCCTAACATAATTCTGTTACTGATTAGTTAGTTGCTGACTCAGCAGTGAGTTATATTGAACGACCATATATAGCCGGTTCCTCTGTACATCAAATTAATGAAAGTTTCACAGTTCAGTTTTCTCTCTATCTATTTCTCCCATAATTCTGGCTTAGCCAAGAAAATAATATAGCCAACACCTTTTCTCATCAAATCTCAATCATTCAAAAAAAATTGTCATTGAAAAGTCGAAGAGATTATTTGTGGTCTGTGGTCACAAACTTCATCTTTTCTTGGTTAACCCTACTGTTCCTCCTTGGTATCTTACAGCAATTAATCCAACATCTTTGGATCGGGAACAGCAAGATTCATTGCTGCCTACATGGCTCTATCAACACTGTCAGAGATGGTTCTTCCTAGGGTTGTTCATTGCATCAACTCATAGCAAGTTTGGGAAGAAATCCACAAATTCTTTCACTCTTGGATTGAACATTCGATCTCGTCAACTTCATTCCAAGTTAAAATTCATTACGAAGGGAGATTGCACAGTTGCAGAATATCTAGCAAGGATTCAAGCTATTGTTGACATCCTTTTACCCCTAGGAGATCCTTTTTCTCATTGTGGTCACATCAATGTTATTCTTGAAGATCTCCCTGAGGAACAGTCCTCTTGCAGCAATTATTCAGCATCACACTGAACCTTGCGACATTTTGTAAATACTAGTAAAATATATCAACTGCAAATGCTTATGAAGACTGAGAGATTAACCATTAACCATTACAATTTACAAGGAAGGCAAAACTCTATTAACCATTACAAGGGACTTTTAAAAATTTAGAGGAATGCTTCTCATTAACCATTACAGGGAAGGCAAAATTATCACTTAACCAATTTCTCTGTTGTCCAGCTTTGCTATCCACTCTGATATCACATCCGGCAATGTCCTCCCCATTTGTCTAATGCAACTATCAGTGATCTAGAAAACCACAAACCGTAAATGATAGTCATAGTAACCAATGTAATAAGCTACAACAGACCAAAAACAATAAAATTACAGGGATCAGAAAGCCCATACATTCTGTTCATGTAGATTCTTTTCATGTGCTAACAATGGGATTCTCGAAATAGAGTGTTCTGAGATCTGGAAAAAAAAAAAGTACAAAGATCGTGACTGAGTGACATTTTGTACCAAATCCATAGCCTTTAATTCACTGGGCAGAAAAGAACCAAGCAAGGAAACATTGTGCTGCACAGTTAACTGGATGATGGAAATTGATAAAAAAAACATCCACCCTGTAATGGCACAATAATAATTACACAAAAAAGAGCTTTCTAGAAAGAAACATTCATTAAAATTAACAATTGTGATGAACAATAATCCCTACAGTTTTTAAAGTATCCTGGGAGCAAACAGGGTGAGAGCCATTCCCAGTTACCCCTAGAGCATGCCAATAAGCTCCACAGAAAGGTCTATCACATCCAGAACCTATGATAAAAGAAAAACATGAATTATCTGACATTATCAGTCAATGTGAATATTGAACCCCAACATAAATAAAATGGAAAAGAAATAAAATACTCCAGTTCATTGACATGAATTTGAATAACCTACAAGTACCACCATGCTAGCACAAGATATGGTTAAGGTTTTCGGGTTTCTTGACCCAAATCAAAAGCCATTCATAAAAAACCAGAAACATAAATTTGACAGTGCCATTGACTAAATCAAAGTTGACAACTTACAATACTGAGGAATGCCAAAACCAGTACGGGAAGGCATCATTCCTCCACATGCTTGACATTGGAGATGAACAGTATCATGTACGCAACGAAACCCATCAACTTCAGTAACTAAAAATTTTAAGTGAAGTAATGAACTCAATGAGTACGACAGGAAAACAAAATAAAGAAAGAAATCACAATTTTTTCTCTTGTTCATCTATGACAAGTCACATGTAATGCATATTGTCATGAAATTCAAAGAGCATAATCACAATAGGCAATGGAGACTATCCAAAAAAAAAAACCAAAAAAACCCCAAATCCATTTCAGGACTAGGGACAAGACGCATAAAGTAAGACAGAAAAAGTAACTAAATCTAAATAACATGTCATCTCAATAATCCATTTCAAAGAGAGAAGCTTCTGTATCATCAGTCAAAGCACCATTTTGTTCAAAAAAAAAAAATGCCTTCCACATTCTAGTGCATGATATTCCTATGTAGTATGTATTTTGAATTATTTATAAGATTCAACGGAAAAAAAAAATGCCTTCCTTGTTCTAGAGCATCCTATTCCTATGTATTTTGAATTATTTCTAAGATTCAACAAATTCTAAGTAGTAAATACACAATGGCATCGCTAGAGCATTTAATAACTAAACTTAAGGAAGAATTATAGGTCCATGCAAAGCACAAAAGAAAAGAATAAAGATCCCTCTTATGCAGGTCAGCACAGACTACAAACATGATATTCTTAAGGACAGCATAACTGATAATTAAAAACCATGAATAATTAGCACAGCAAACTGAGGGGATTGATGAGGGAAAATGTTGTGCGACATAGATTATATTGTCCAAGGGACATTATTCCAGATCTGATGATGTATTGCTATTACCACACTGTGGGCACTGATGGTCTGTGCCATCGCTTTGATCATCCAGTGATGCATAGGCCCTCTTTCGACTCTTCTTTCCAGATCCAATGACCTAAAAGTAAAAACACACATGAACAACTAAAAGAATATAAACACACAATATATAACAACAGAAACATGATGCAAGATCATAAAATCCACAAGAAAAAGGTAAAACAGCTGGTCTATGGTTAGATAAAAGAGTCTGGCAGATGGAATTAATCATAATCTAACTCACTTTCAATAAAATTGCATGACAAAGGACAAAATATTAAATTAGAACTAGACATCCAAATACAGAAACACACATATGGGATAGAATCAATTAAACTTTGTAAAAGTACACCATTAATCACTTTTGTAAAAAAGCAAATTTTATCAATCCAACTGTTATCAGCAAAATTTCATACTATTTAAAAACTAATTGATATTTCATCAAACTGTTTTGTTTTATAGTAGAACTCTGCCTACAGTATCATAGCCAGTCCAAAGACTAGGTAAAGTAGGAGGGTTGTGTTAGACTCTTGTCACCCAATGAAAAACTTCTCAAATGAGCAAGGGTCCTCACATTTTCCTAGACAGATGTCGGTAAAGAAACTAGTTCAAAAGTGCATGATTAGATTTGTTACTTATAATATTGGTACTCTGATTTGTAAGTCTATGGCGGTGGTGGATACAAGATACCATGATTTGGAGGGTTATGGGTTAACATTGTGTGCCTTCAAGAAACCAAATGGGTTGAAAAAGTAGTTAAGGAGCTAAACACTAGGATTGCTTATTTGCTTTCAATATTGTTGGAATTCAGACAAACGATGATATGAAAGAAAGTTATAAATAGGATGAGGATTACAAGTAGAACGACTATCTTTACGAAGAGTAATGGGCAAGTCAACTGAGGTAGGTGGGGCCGGAGTAAGAGAGGAGACAGAAGCAGGAGTAGAATCACATGGCTCAATTGTAGAATCATTGGGAGTAACAACAGTATATGATCGACGCTCATAGGTTATCCCAAATCGGTGTAGAGGATGGTCAGACCCTGGTAGTGTGGGAGGATCTGGTGCCTCTAAAGTAGCAGGTGTGGTAGGAGGCACACTATGATCAAAATGAGGAACAGGCAATACCTGAGAGGGGAGATCTGAGTCAACCGGAGAGACATCTGTGGCAATAAAATATGGTTTATCTTCAAAGAAAGTAACATCTGCACTGGTGTAAAATCGATGCGTAGCAGGAGAGTAATAATGGTACCCCTTTTGGACATGGGAGTATCCTAAGAACACAATTTGATGGCCCGAGCAGACAACTTATCACATCCTGAAAAAAGATCATAGACAAAACAAGTACAACCAAAGACACGAGGAAGAACAGAGTAAAGGAGATCTAATGGATTTAATAGGGAATGAGGTACTTGATCATTCAAGACAGACGATGGCATTCGATTTATTAGATACCCTGTAGTGAGGACAGCATCACCCCACAACTTTGGGGGTGCATCGGCATTCAATAAAAGAGTACGAGCAGTGTCCACAATATGTCTATGTTTTCGCTCAGCTACACCATTTTGTTGAGGTGTATGAGAGCAACTAGATTGATGTAGAATGCCATGAGAAGCCATAAATGATTTGAAGCAATTTGCAAAATATTCTTTAGCATTATCGCTTCGTAAAATCCAAATTACTTTGCCAAATTGAGTTTTGATCTCCGAATAGAAACTTAGGAAAATATTGAATAACTCAGAAAGATTTTTTATTAAAAATATCCAAGTACATCTAGAAAAATCATCAATAAAGGTAACGTTAATACCTATGCCTCAAAAGAGAAGGAACACGACTAGAACCCCAAACATCAGAATGAATAACATCAAAAGGAGACATAGCTCGACTATTAACACTATTAGGAAAAGAAGCTCTAACATGCTTTCTTAATTGACACGACTCACACTCTAAAGACTTTAACCGTGAGAGATGAGGTACCATTTTCTTTAATTTATTCAAGCTTGGATGACCCAGGCGAAGGTGGATTAAACCAAGAGACTCAATAGATGCACATATGGTAGAGGTAGAAGGCTGAAGGTAGTAGAGACCATGTGATTCAGATCCGGCTCTAATCGTCTGTCCCGTACTCCGGTCCTGTATCAAGAAAGAATCAGAAGTGAAGGTTATGACACAGTTTAGTGACCGAGTCAACTTACTTATAGAAATCAAATTAAAGGGACATCCAGGAACTAGTAAAACAGATTTTAATGGTAGTGATGGGAGAGGTGATATTTGACCAATACCAGTGGCTTGAACTTTTGACCCATCTGCAAGAGTGATATGATGTGGAGTTTTAGGTGATGATAGGTTACGAAAAAGGGAGACATTACCAGTTAGGTGATCAGAAGCACCGAAGTCCAAAATCCAAGGTCCAATAGACGTAGAATGAGAGAGACAGACTGTAGAATTACCAGTATGAGCAACAGTGATGGAGGAAGGGGCCTGTTTAGTCGCCTTTAGTTGAAGATACTCTTTGTAATCATCGGCAGATAATGTGATTGGATGATTGCTCTCAGGTTCAATCTTGACTTCTAGAGCCAAAGTCGGAGATTGAGCCACTTTAGCTGTCTTGCTCGGAAAGCCATGCAAGGAATAACACTTGTCTCATGTATGTCCATCTCTTTGGCAGTAGGTACAATGGAGGTTTCCTCTACCCCCTTTACCACAACCACGACCTCGACCACGCCCTCGACTTCCACAGTCAGTTGAACTAGAGATAAAAGCAGAAGGTGTGCCATTCTTGGAAATCTCTGCCATGAAGAGAAAAAGGAGAAGAACAGCAAAAACACCTCCAAACAATCTCGAAAGACCTCCGAGACAACAACCAAATAGTCTCGAAATTCCGTGGCAGCAACCAAACAACCACGGAATTCCAAGCAACAACCAAACGACCACCTACAGTATGACCCACAACCTAAAAAGGGTCAAAACAAGAAGAGGGAGGGCCGGTGAGTCCAACGGTGCAAACAACATCGCAAACAGAGGCCTGGAGGGCAGCGCGTGAACCCCACGTGTCGGTGAGCTATTCTGACAAAAAACCACGCGTGAGAGTGCATGAGACACCGGTCTGGAGGCGGCTCGCGACGGAAAGGCCGATCGACGACCTCTGAACACTTAGGCGGCGTCAACTTCGACGACTACTGACAAAATTCGAAAAACCCTAGATGCCTTGGTGGCGGCTGGGTTAGGGTTTCCAAACCAGGACCAGAATGCTCTGGTACCAACTTGAATATGAATGATTTTTCATGTTATTGAATTGATGGGTACAATAAAATAAATAGACATAAAACATAATCAATCCCTAAAGTTTAGGGATTTAGATAAAACTGACTAAGGAAACTAAACTAGAAATTAGGAGAGGATAAACTAGTATATCTAAACTATATCTTATAGAATTATCTTAACAAATATGTTGAGGGCTAACATTATGTCTCTAAAACCACCTAAACACCTAGGAAACACATTATTCCCCTACCATCCATCTCATAAATGGAGAATAGATGTGGCATCCTACTGGATTAACTACAATCCTGCCTCCACATCTACACCACACAAATTAAAGAGGACAAACACTCCAGTCACTTGCAGCAAGTGTAGCATGCCTGGCCACAACAAGAAGGCTTGCCAAAATGTTACATTTCCACCTCTACCCCTGGCTGCAACAAAGGGGGCAAAAGTACAAATAACTACTAAGAACAAAAGTAAAGGCAAAAGGGCAGCATCTTTTTTTCTAGCCAAACCAAGGGTCTTTCACCATCTCAACTAACCAAGGATATATTTTTTCTCACAAACCAAGGGTGCACCTCCAAGATTGAGTGGATCTGCTGCAACTGTGACTACATGCATACCATCTTTTCAACCAATTGTAGCTCAAATTATTACATCTACAAGACTAAACTGATCTGCTGCAGCTATGGTCACTTACAAGCTTCAGCATTAGCAACAAAATTACCAATCCTGGGCCTAAATTACAGATCCAGAAGGAAACAATAGATTGGAAAAGAAATCCTATTATCACGTCACTGCAGTTGCAAAAAGCTGTGAAAAAGGCTAGCAAAACCCATAGCCAAGTCAAGGGTCTACCACCAAAGTCATGAAGAAAAGTAATGGATCTGGAGTATCTAGACCACACCCAAGAATTAGGATTTCTATTTTGAGTTTCAGGACTGGTTTTGGAAAGCATTTTTTTTGTCTCAATTGTGGAGCACTTTTGGTATATTTTATTCACTTTGCTATGTTTTTATACAGTACTGTTGTCATTATCTAATGCTTCTTTTATTCATAAATGAATGAGCGGATCAAGCTTTTTAAATATTGGCTATTTAACTCTCTTGTTTATTGTTGGTCATTAAGTTATTCACATACTTATCATTGAGTCTTTTGAATTCTTTAACAATCAGGGATAGTTATAGAGCAATAAATCTGAACCACCCATCCACCAAATTAGCAATGTCATTACACTTCAAATCAATCCTTTCATCATAACATCAACTTACAGAAAACTAAATAATCTCATATTAAATTTTCAAATCCACTTCACAACTCTCTTCCTCTGCAAATTAACCTATCTTACTCTGTTAAGCAAATTTTACAAAGAATGCAGCAACCACCACAACAATAACTATCAAACCCCATGAACACCACGATAGTAGCTTGTAAAACCAATTTCTTTCCCTCAGATCTGCCACCAGCCTTTGCTGCCCTTCTATGACCTCCTCCACACCTTCGGAGGTTGGCTCGTCCATCCAATGAAAAAAACCACAACTCCATGCTTCCTGTATCAACACACTAAAACTTGAATCAGTAGCCACGAAAACCAAAACCCAAATCACCTTTGGAATGCACATTCCTTGTCATAATATCACATACCCTATAGTTTGGACACCTCAAGAACCGACGACCAGGATTTCGATAAGTCCTTGATGTATACACCTTCACCCTACCTCCACATTCACAGCATGCATGCCTCCAGCTCCTTCGGTTTCTACTTATGTCTCTTGTTTCCATGTCAAACCAATAGCTACCATTCCAGCTCATCTTCATCATTGTCCAAATTTGCACCGTAACAGTAAAATGATGGGTGGTGGGCAACAAGACAACACATAGGGTTTCAATGGGTTGAGGAATGGTAGGGATTCCATTATTAGACACATTAACTTTCACAGTCATATCAAGAACAAATGATAAGGACCAAAGTGTAAAGTTCAATATGTATAGAGACCAGAAGTTAGGGTTTTGGAACATAGGGACTAAATAATTATTTTGACCTATCTACAATTAGATTACATATTTATGAATGCCTTAAATCATTTCAAGTTTGATACACATGATCATTATGATAACATCGTGTTCGTGTGTGTTTGTGCCTCTCTGTGTGAAATTTCAAGGCTGGGACAAGAATTGCATAACATGGCAAAGGGAAGTAAATTTTGACCACTAAAAAAATAATTTTACTCACAAGGTTTGATCGTACTAAAGCATAAGTATCTAAAAGTGCAACTTCATCATGCGAGCGTCCTAGTGAAGAATCAGCCCTTAGCATATCCTATAAAAAAATATGTGTACATTAGAAAAAAGAATACTACTGAGTAAAAACAACAAAACCTTATTACACTAGGTGGATCAGCTGCATGGATAATCCACATCATCGGGCAATAGCAAGAGAACATACTTTTAATAAACAAATTAAGACAAACTAAAAAGTAAAAAGAGAGAAGAAAACCAATAGAGCAACCAAACTTAAAAAGAACCATTGTAACTATGAACTACTAGTTCATCAAAATTATGGGCAAAAATTCTCATCTTCCATGAATGCAGTCAAATATTAATTATCATGCCCAGATGCTATCCCTGATGTCAGTAATAGATGATGCCAACATTCCTACAAGTAGACTAGATTGAATTTATTCAAGAACTCATCATTAGTCATACGTTCATACAAATATATAAAAATGGGTGTAAAGTCTATATCTATGATAAAGACAAGTCAATAGATGAAGCTTAAGCTTTTAGAAAACAAAGTATCTCACATCAGACCTGATAAGCATATTTTAATCAGAACTTCATTCATCTTGGACCCACACATTAACAGCAGGGAAGTTATTGCACATAAGCTCTGAAGTTTCTATTGTGTCAAGGCTAAAGAAATAAAACAAGACAATACAACAAATGAAGGTTATGGAGATCAAAATATCTCGTATCAAACCTGATTGACATACTTTAATCAGAACAAGTGCCTCCCCCTCCATGGTCATGGATGTACACACATTAAGAGCCGAGGGGCTATTGAATCCCCAGAGCTCTGGACTTGTTATTAAGTAAAATTTGAAGAACTTGGCAGAGAAAAAATCAATGACATTCACATTGATGTTCCATTGCTCCCCCCACCCCAAAAAAAAGAAACTGCAAGGTCAGTATTTTGTAATCTTAGGAATTATGGATAAAAATAAGGCTGGAACTTTGTTTGGTGTATCAATTATCAAAGAATTCTCTAATCCATGCCAAACATTATCCCTTTCCTCCACATTTGCAGCTACCGATAGCCAGAGAAACACACTAATTAAATAACAAACACGCTTGATTATATATCATCTACAATTTGGCTAAATCTCTACAAAATGCTTCAGTATTAAATTCACCTCAGCAATGGTACGCAGAAAGTGGTTTCTTCCAACAAACTGAACAAGTGCTCTGCATTGAGGACAAAGTACAGCTGAATGTCTTTCTTTTGATCTCCTTAACCACTCTGAGAAGCAACCATTGCTGTAATGCCATATAGCAATTCAAGCAAAAGTCAATGAACTGAAAGAGACCTATAATACTAAGAAAAGGGGGGGAAAAGTCTATCCATACCAAAAATTGTGAAGGCATGGAGCAACAGTAACAACATCATGCCATATGTTTAAGCAAATGCTACACTTTGCATGATCAACATCTACACATATCTGGAAAAGAAACACAGTCAAGTCATCAATATTGCTAAATATAAAACAGTATTGAACAAGACTTAAGAAGGTTGAACAAATTAGACATCATCAACCTTTAGCTGCCTCTGGCAGATATTTGGGCTAGACATTATATGAAATTTGTAGCTGACGAATCCTAGTGCCACGAAGAGAGAGAAAAATATAATTAAAGCAATTAATAACCAGCTTAGAAATATTAAAAAAAATTGTATCAAAAACCAAATAATTAGCATAAAGATTTTGTTTTGTCCCACAATACAATGTAGATTTTACTAATTATTCAAAAGACCCGATAATCAGTTAATCAACCACAAATTGAAACTTGATACTGCCAAATGCCAATTATACTTTAACTATCTAAAAGCATAATACTATTGACTCATGTAATTCTCACTTGCTAGGAACATAATTTGGGTAAGGATTAAAACAGGCACTGTGCTATAGTTTATGCCCACATTACTGTCCAAGTCAATATGATGATCAATCAAACCCTATTTTTCATCCTTAGGCCTTCTATTAACTTAGTAATTTAACATGCTGAACAATTAATAGTAATACTACCACTATTGTTAAACCAAATTCGAATCTTATTAAAGAAAACAAACAATATAACAAAAGAAAACTTGGAATACAACTTTGCTTGAAACAAAACAATTGATTGACAGTAGCCCAATGGCAATACTACTTTATGGAACTGTAACAACTGAATGATATACATACAACACAATTTTACAATAATTTATTCCATATATGTTGTTAGTGATAGGAATTGTTACACTGCCATAAATATTAAAAAACTCTGACCTTCTCTATCAGGACGTGGGATAATTTGACTTCCATCCTTAATGACAATGGTATCATCACTGTGTAACTCAGCTCCATCAACAAGTATTGTATTTTGACTATAGCATGAATGCATGGTACACCCAAAAACAAAAGAATTAAAATAGAAGGGAGTAAAATACACAAAGGCCACAGAGATTGCATTTTCTAGTTTTAAAAGTAGCAGTTCTTTGTTCTTAAACTATAAATTTCTAATAAATCACAAATATTTATCTTGGCTACTAGGAAGCATAATTTACTCAGTTTCTTAAAAATTATTAAGTAGTCATGAGCCTTTACCTTTTGTTTTCCATTGTGGCTGAACATAGATCAGGATTCCTTACTATTTTGCACCAGCTATGTTTGTCATTAGAAGTAGTTGATATCTCCGAAGTTATTACTTTTTCATCTGACCTTATCTCCACATCTGAATATCTCTCATCAGACGGAACTGCAATAAAGAAATAATTTGACCAAAATAAGAACCTTAAGCAAGTTTCAAACTTCACACTAAACCCAACCCTTGAATTTTTTATATCTAGGAGTCAACTTGTCATCCCTTTTGTTAGCAATAGCAACTGGATTCTAAAAGAAGAATAAGAAACACTCAACATACAAATAAAGATTTAACGAGGTTTGACAATGTGCCTTAGTTCTTGAGAACTAAGTGGCTGTGTTTCTTTTATTAATTATTAGAAATAAGGTTCCATCAAGTATATATAAAATATGAGGACATAACTCTACACCCCAATCCAATTAATTTGTAACCCAACAAATAGGCTGCCAAGCCTAATCTACTCTACTCCAACATCCGCTGCCCATTATGAATATGAGTCATGCAATGAGGCTTTTATCATTCCACAAAATGAGAACTTGGCCATTAAACTTAAAAATAAAAAAAATAATTTGTACCCCACCTTCTGATTCCGTTTAAAATTTGAAGAATTAAAGTGAAATCCGATGAAGGGGAGGGGGGAACATGGAAAGCACCAAGTTTGAAACTTTATTTGGTATCCGTAAAATCTGAGTCTGATTATGGATACCCAGAGAAAAAAATTGAAGATGGAAAATGACTATTACCAAGCTTGGCCCATATTTCATCAGATGGGTTGGCTGAAGAAGATGATTCTCCTCTTTCCTCCATTGATCAGAAGAAAGGGTTTTCTTTTCTGTGAGATGGAAGGGTTAAATTTGAAGAGTTTATCGTTATTTATAGTGTCAAAAAGCGTGCATGGGACGGATCAGTATGTGTCGTCAGCGTCAGCCTCTGTCCGGTGTCCAGTGGGTGTGGTTATGTTACATACACGGGTTACCACTCTCAAGTGTTACTACGAGTGAACATGGCTCGGATAGGAAGCTGTTCCAGTCCATCGAATCAATCAATTTTAGGAAAAATTCACATTAAAAAACACTTCTGTGTCAATTATTTTTAAAAAATAATAAATAATAAAAACTATATAATAGTAAGTGATTATCAAAAATACAACTTATAAAGTAAGATTTACAGAAATAAAAAAAATAAATTTTAATTTATGAGAGAGTAAATATACATGTTGGATTTGACAAAAATTGTATATTCTAAAAATTTTAATCATCTTTATTATAGTTATAAATGATACACGTAAAATAAAAGTTAAATTAGTGTTTTAGTTTATATCCTTGTCAGTTAAATGTTTAATAAATACAACTAAGACTTAAAATAAATTATGTACATAAATAAATATTATGTTTTTTTTTTGTGTTGTAGATAAATATTATGTTTGAATATATAAATTATATTTTAAAAATATTATGAATAATGTATATTGTAAAATATTATTATTTTTATTTATTAATAAATTTTTTTAAAATTATTAAAATTTAATTTATAAATAATTGTAATAATTAAAATAATCTATAAAAAAAAATCTTTCATTGAACAAAAATTTATAAAAATATTCTCTAGCAAAAAGTCTTTCGTGTTTTATATATAAGAAGTTGATAAGGCTAAAGATAGTTTATAAACACTCTTCTTCTTTAACTCACTGAGACCTTTTTTAAATGACAAAATCATGACGGCCCAACGAGTGTTAAAGCAGACAATACCGATGACAACGGACTTATGATAGGAATAGATTGTATTATTAATCATAATTCAACATTAAATAGATGACGTGACAATCAAAATTTAATAATATTCATATTTAATTTCACATTTAGTTCTCATTTTTATTTCATAAAAGTTATAAAATAAGTGAAAATAGTATAAAAATAAGAGCTTAAAGTAAAATTTAAGTCAAATATTATTGAATTTTGATTGTCATGTCATCTACTTAGTATCATATCACAACTAACATTACATTTATATATTTTAAATAATAATGATGATGATAATGAAGATGATTATGTTTATATCATAATATATATAAACATTGACCCGTTCTATGTTGTATGGCTCCACCCTTGTTCAGTGAAGATGTTAGCTCCTTCGTGCAAATGATATTGGCCCCCTAGCACTCACAACATAAAGGTCAACAATTTAATCAATTGTAACCGCCAAAGTGAAAACATGTCATTACAAACCTCTTCAATACCAAATACTTTAAAACTATCCTAAACATATCCATCACGACTTAGACGTTGAAGATAAACATATTTGAAACTTTAGCAAAAAATGGCCTAACTTTGTAAAATCCGCTTACTTTCACATCACAAAATGTATGGCCAATACAAACCATCTCCACAAATCATACCCATGGAACGATGGAACTTTAAAATTTCACTTTAGGTAAAAAATAAAAAATAAAAAAGTTTTATGTAGCGTGTGTACATGAATTGTCTTTCTACCCGTACTAGGTTTCAAACAAGAGGTGTAAACTGTTGCGCAAATTATCTCCTTTATAACTCTAACCTTGAGAAAAACTAACACTTTTTCTTTGATTGCAACACCACAAGTGAAACATTGCTTTATTCAACTCTCCACCTGACACTTCAATTCATCATCCCAAAGTTGGCTCATTCAATGATGTTATCTCCAACTTCTGCAACCTAGGTATCAATACTTAAGTCAGCGAAATCGTTGTGATTCTTTGGAATATCTATAATGTCATAAATACTTACTTTTGGAGGAAGAACCTCATAGAACATGACTGACCAAATCTTTGAAATTCTTTATGAATGACACAAAGACATCACAACCATCACAAATAAACTACACTAGTTTTCTCAAATGTAGTATGAAGCAATAGAGGTCACAATGTCAAAACTAACTCAAACCACAAGCTTTACTTGCCAAATGTAAATGAAGGGAAAGACATTTCACTACTTGTTGTTATCAAATGGATTAGATGTGAAGGCTTTGACCACGTCTATTCCAAAAGTGATTGAAAATATGTTATGTGTTGGGATACAAACAAAGGTTTTGTATTAATAAAATAAGAGAAAAAAAACCACTTATAAAGTACACGCATACTTCAATGGTTAAAAGACCTTTTGAGTGATAATCAAAAACAAAATTACGAGAGCTTTTATCTAAAACAGATAATATATTACCATTATGGAGTTGTGTGTGAAACTTTTATGAATATAAATATATATTGTTAAAAAAAAACCTTAATAGTGGTATACAAACAAAGGTTTCACATCGATAAAATAAGAGAAGAAATAACCACGTATAAAGCGCACATACACACATACTCCAATTATTGAGAAACCTTATAGATATAATGGTCCCACATTGATAAAACAAAAAAATAAATAATAACTTATAAAATGCACACACACGTACTTATAAAGTGTATACACATACTTTAATAATTAAGAGACCTTTTAAGTAATAATCAAAAGTAAAAAAAAAAAACCAACATAATTTAATTTAATTTATTTATTTATTATAATTATTTATAAATTAAATTTAATACTTTTAAGATATATTATCAATAAAAAAATTTATATTATAATATTAATTATTTATCATAAATCTAAAATATAATATATATTTTAAAATATCTATTTATTTAAATTTAAAATATAATATTTATTTATAAAAATATTTTATTATAAATTATAGTTATAAATAAATACAATAAACATTTAATCCAAACTAAAATACTATATCTTAAAAACCTGAATGGAAAAATAGAGAGTGACTTGGAAAAAAACGCATGTCTCGGACTTGGGTACGTAATTTTTAAGTTTGATTAGAAAAATATTATTGTTGTTAATGATTCGAGGGTTTTGTGGTTTTGGCGGTTAGGGTTTAGTTTTTTAGTATTTAAAAAAGTGAGAAAAGAATGACATGCGTTTGGTAATTTGTTGGAAGCTTCACAAGTCGCTGCTCGCTGGCTTTGCTTTCGTTACCTCGTAGTCATTTTCTCTCTTCATTTCGCCGCTGTAAAACCCTTCTTCCCTTTCTCTCTTCTCTTCGTTTCCACTGTATTCGCGCAATTTACCTTTTGTTTCTTATGTTTCGCGTTGGTTTCGGTCTTAATCGTCGATTGAGTTGTCGATTTGTTTTTTTCCTTAACCTACGGAATTTATTGACGTTCTTGTTATTTGCTCTGTGTTTTGCTGTTTGATTTGGTTGCTGGAAATATTCACTGTCGTAGAAGTGAAAAGGCATTATGGATATAGTTTGAATTTGTATTAGTTTTTTGGTCTTTTTTAAACAATGAATATCTCCAGGAGAAACTCGTTGTGACCTTGATATGAAATAAGATAAAATTGAGATGAAGTTGCAATTGTGTTTTTGGCTTAGTTAAAGCAGTCGATTTGCTTAAATAACCTTGGGAAAATATTGCGAGGAATGTGTGGAAAAAACAAGCTGCTGACTAGGTTTAGTATTATTGTGATCAAATTTTGAAGCCATCTGGACATATTATGATTGAGGTATCAAAGAACTAATGTGGGATGACAATTCTGACACTGAGTTGTTGAATTGGATTACTTGACTGAAGTAAAAACGATTGATAATTGTCTATTTCAATCCTCCCCCTCCGCCCAACTTTTGCCACTACTAGGCAGACCCAAATAGTTGATTTGGTTTTACATTTTTTATGATGTCAATGTGCTTTTGTTCAGTTAAACCATTTTTTAATGGTATGATCAGTAACTTTTGTCCTATTTTTTAGTGTTTAATTTGATTGCTGGAGATACTTAACATTTGATCATCATAGGGGTTGTTTGCCTATTTTCCTTTTTAAATATGTTACGCAAATATTGAAGTGACACAGTTTGGACACTCCTTTGAGTCATTCCTTTTCTTTCTCTTCCTCGTTATTATGGCCATAGGTTTATAAACATGACTTATTATGAAAGTCCCAAAAGTCATTATAGGTATGGTTCACATTCCAGTTAATTTTAGTGACCATCTTATAAAAGATGAAGAGATAGTTCAGACAAAGTTGCTGTAGTTTGAGATATTGAGCTGATGTCATTGTTTTATTTTTATACGAAACAATCAGTAAAATTGTAAAACATGCTAATGACTACTTGCAGTATTATTGTGTTCCGATGACTTTGAACCCAAATGCATGCTATGATTGAGCTATTGAAGAATTTATGCAGGACAACTATTCAGATACCAAACAGTCAATTTGGATAAATGATAATGCCGTGATGCAAATGTTAGATTCATATCTTTTGGAATATTTAATTAAAAAAATTGTTATTTCAATGCTTAGAAATGCAGATCACTGAGAGTACAGAAGTCGTGAGAGACTGACAGAGCACTTACGAGAATTTAACTTGGAGCTGCAGGATGGGTCATTGGGGTGTTTGTCATCAAGTCATGTTCATTGGTCAGCAAGAGGAATGTGAACTCACTTCCACCATTCCTAAGGTTGAGGAATCAGAAGATGAAGAAAAAGTCATTGACGTTGAGCCTATCTTCATGCCAAAATTTAAGAAAAGAAAACGCCTAAGCCTTAATCGTCTTAGAGAGATTAAAGCAGATATGTGCGATGGGCAAAGTAGTGACATGGCTAAAACAAAGAAGTGTGCAAGCAGAGACAGATGGTCAGCTAAGAGGTAATATATGATATTCTTTCTGCTGTTACTATCTTCTAACATATATTAAGTCGAGACAGTAATGTAATGTAGGTATAAGTTGGCTGAGCAAAGCATGTGGGAGGTCTTAAAAGGTGAAGGTGCAACTTTTGAAAATCCAATTACCCGAAATGCACTAAGATTGGCTGCCCGTAAGCACATTGGTGATACTGGACTATTAGACCACTTACTAAAGCACATTGATGGTAAAGTGGCACCTGGAGGAACTGAGCGGTTCCGACGGTGGTTCAACACCAATGGAATCATGGAGTATTGGTTGGAGAGTGCTAGTTTGGATAAGATCCGCCAGGAGGCCGGGATGCAAGACCCTTACTGGATACCACCGTCTTCTTTAAGGGCATGCAGTGTTCCTACTCTGAATACTGATTCCATTGGTGAACTGAAAATGCTTAAAATAGAAATGGCCCAGATGAAAAAGTATTGAACTCGGAAACTCGAATTTCATAATAATTTTGTATGCTTACTATTATATGTTCAATTTTAATAAATTAATTTGCATAGCAGAGATATGCAAGAGCTCATTGCCAAGAAGCAAGAAAAAAACGAAATGTGTTTGATGAAGGTGAATAATTTAAAAATTCAATGGTTGTTGTCTTGAATAGAACTTTATGAACTTCTATATTGATATTTATCTTGACAGGAGACACAGAAAAATTATGTGAATTGGAAAGCTATGACTGAGCAGCGTGTAACTGATATTATAAATTCTTTGAAGGGTGTGCAGGTATCTAAGCAGTTTTCCGCACTTTCACTCTTTAAGAATACAGGCCTTATTTACTATTTTTTTTAAAGAAAAAAGAAGTTTCTTGATTAGGAGAATAATAATGTGAAATTTTCCTGGGGGGTGGGGGTGGAGGACTGTTTTAGTGCTTTTCTTAGAAGCTAAAAATAGTAGCTTCTTAAAATGATATCTAAGAAAATGCTATATCATATAGTCACTATTTATTCAAGCTTAAACAAAGTAGGCCTTAATGGGATACATATTATGTTGAATGTGATTTCTTTTACATTGTTAGTTTGTCCATGAATGTGTTATCTGGCTTAATGTAGCTTTACATATTGACAGGGCATGCATGAAGACATGTTGATTTGGAAAACTAAAGTTGAGCAACAGCTTATGCAAATAACCAACAAATTGAGTGGTGTGCAGACATTGAGAGAACACACCACTTCAAGTTATTCTCCTGTAAGATGGGAGGATTGGCTGGAAAGCACCAACCTAGACAATATTCAGGGAAATGAACTTGGACCTTGGTTTGGGAATCCTGAGCTACTTAATGTTCTTCCACAAGAGGTTGTACTTCAAGATCCAAACTTAACCCTACCAACTCAGCTGCACGGGGTAGAACTGACTAACATGAGGAGGTAATGCAAATAAAATTATATTCTTTAAAACCTTTCCATTCCATGCTCTTTTTGAGGGCAAAAAAGATAACAAATGAGGAAAAATGTTACTTATTTCAGTAGCCCCCTCATTCTTTCTCCTCGTGATTATAGCAATTTGCTGGAGTTGGTGCCAGAGAAGCTAAAGGAAGATCAAACTAATGTGACACCTGATTCTTCTACGACGGTTAACTCAAAATCAGAAACTGACAATTCATTGATATTGTTTCAGGTGATGTATTATATTATATGCCTTGTATATAATATTTTCTAAATTTTTATATTTTTCAATTTAGTATTTATTGCATAATATTTTTCTCACAGGAAATGTTCATGGAGTTATTTACATCAAGGGATAAAATGGAGCAGCAGTTATTGGATATATCAAATACTGTATATCGTATGCTGGCAATGAAATAGACTCTACATCGAAGTATCCTAGTATCAAGCCTAATTTTTGGACGCTAATTTTTAACCATTTTCTCTTGTTGCTTTCAGAGTGTAGGGCTTAGATATTGTACAGGTTAACAATATAACGAAGTGAAATCCTTCTCCAACCACAACATAGAAGCCGCATCTGAATCTCACCCACACTGAGCTGCAAATTGTCGATATTTTTCCCTGGCCTTTTATAGTACAGTTGGTTTCTGCTTTAAGGTAGGTCACTAGGTCATCGTTAGGGATATTATTTTAAGTGACAGTTTTCTAGTTTTGTTCAGTAAAAGTTAAGCTCCTGTTAGGCTTTTATTTAACTTATTAGCTCGAGTGACTCTTGAAAATATGTACTTGAACCTTATTTGGGGGATAAGTTGCTATATGTAGAATTTGTGCGGTATAGTTCATCATATCTCGGATTACCCAAAAAAAACCATTCCTGATTCACAATTCAGCTGCTAGTAAATTTTTCTTTATTTTGACACGATGTAGCTGCTGGTGCTTAATCCTTCACAATCTCATTTTTGTTTAATGTTTTTATAATTAAAATTCAATAAATATGTCGGTGTAAAGTTTTACGATGATGTTCAATTACAAATTTTATATGATAAATGACGCATGTATAACAAATTGTATCGCAATTTATACAACAAAAAGTGAGAAAGAGAGATTTTTTTATTTTTATTTTTTATATTTAATGAAACAAGGTATTTTTTTCTATCGAAGAAATGAGTTTCAAGGAGTGCAGTGAGTTTAGGAATTGAATTACTTTGGTTGAAAGCTCATGGTTTAAGTCTGCTGAGTGCCGAACGTCGTTAATACCCTGCTATAAGAATTGTTGGTGGCATTTAATCTATACACTAACACACCATTACGGGTGAATACGATCTGCAAACACTTCAAGCTCTCTTTTGTAGAAGAGTAGTTATATGTGGACATTTTAATAGTGGAAACTGGAAACACCTATTTGACATTTATCACATTTCTATCTTTTTTTTTTAAAAAAAAATTATCTCTTTCTAAATGTCTTAACGATGTAAGTGATTATAAATCATTTTTCTTTGTAGATTTTCATTTTCTCCCTGAGAAGTTGGTTAACCAAATCAATATCCACAAATTACTGTCAAACTAATTTTGAATTTCTTTATTGATATTGAACCTCTCTATTTTTGGATTTTACGTGGCCGGAATTTGTTGATTTTTTTTAATAATACTAAAAAGCTAATATTTATCAATATAACACTCCTTTCACCTTTTCGAATTTATTTATCCAAATATGACTCTTTTTTTTTTTAGTCTAAACTCTGTTATTGTTATTAAAGATAAAAAAAGCCACTCTTTATTTCTTTGAAAATTTCTCCATAAGGTTTCAACTCCCTTCACTTTTTTATATATTATTTTTCTGACATGTTAAGAAGAAGGGTTTGGGGACACGACTTCTTAACAGGTTATTTTTATTTTATTTTGTTTTCTAATTTTTGGGTTTAAAAGTAAAAATAATTTATAATTAACCTTAATTATTTTATGGGTTATTAGTGAAAAATAATAATACAAAGCAATAGAAATAAAATAAAGTGTATCAATTGTTATAATAAATAAATTCTAAAAATTAAAAATAAAACTCAATATGCATAAAATATTAACCTTAAAATAAATTATTAATAATAATGATAATAATTAATAAATCATTTGGCTCAGCCTACTATGGGCCAATGAAAATTTAGTTTGGGCTAGACCAAGGGTCTGAGTTTTGACAGTGCAACCCAACCTATTTGTCTAATTGTGTTAGTTAGGTCTAATTTCATGTATCCATAAACAATTAAATCAGTGTTAATAGTTTTATTCAATATTAATTACGTATACTTTATTAGTAATCTATTAATTAGTGAATTGTCTATGAGTATTGTTAAATAAAAAAAATATTTAGTAAGATTTATGTACAATTCATTCAATAATAGTAGATGTATTTAAAAGTATTGGAAAAATTACATTGTTATGGCTTGTGTTTATTTTTAGCTTCTTCCTTTGGTTAGCTGGAGAAGGCCAAAAAGACAGAATTTACCATAGAATTATTGCATTTGAAGATTTGATGCGTTTGATTTAAAGTTTAATAAAATTAATTCTGAACTATTAACGTAATTGAAATATATATTTAAATTATACATTTTATAGTAAAAAAAAAATGTGTCATGATAAAACAGACTATTTACGAGTGTTTGTCAAACAAAGATGAAAACTTTTAGGATAAGGGGCACAATGAAGTGGATTCTCTTGATGATTATGTCTTATAAAGTTTCGGAATAAAAATATTGAAAAACCTTACTAAAATCTTGGCAAAATTATGAAACTTTATTTTATTTTACTATCATGTAAAAAGAACATATAAAGATATTCTTTCCGAGGGGAACAAGGTAGTACTTCTACTGACAGGGTTCACTGGTAAATAATTATTTTAAAATAAAATTATTCTCAAATCTCGTTTTTTAAGGATAGATCATAGATAAATTATTATTTATTACACTTGAATTATCCTTATGGCGGCAGGTACAGTCACGTGCCTAGGAAAATAACATTCCACTAAAGTAAGGGTAAAAACAAAAATGCCATCATGGCATTATGCATGTTGAAATTTTAAATAAGCCAAGTTGGAGAAAATAAGTATTTCTTTCAAGATTTGAGGATATGAATAGCATAGTGAGAATGGCACGTGACTGATTGAACAAATCAACAAAGATGGCCTCTGAAAAAAAACAGCCTCCATTGAATACGTTATGAGACTTTGTCCCAACTCAAACATTTGTAATCGTATTATATTCCTTCACTCAGTCACACATGTGCTCCATTGCATTGTACAGTGTGTCCCATTTCCTTTTCAATATCTATTTTCATTTCATGTCATCATCTGCTTCTGATTTTACATGCATTCGCCTATACAAAAAATAATTGCGACTCCTATTAACTTTAGGCTCTGAACACTTTTCTTTTTTCTGTGAGTGGAAGGATAGGACCAATGGACCTATACCCTATTCTAACTAAGAATAAATATTGATCTAATTGGTGATGATAACATTCATTACCTAAATATTTTCATACCAAAAGAAGCTAAGTTGTTTTCGCATTGCCTAACAGCTAGGAGTATATAATGGAATTAAGATAAGTAAGTCTACATCAAGAAATTGTATAAGAATAGAATAATTTCACTTCACTGTTACTTTTGATGAGTCAATCCATCTATAAAAAAAGTTTGAAACGTTTGTATCCAGCATGGAGAGCGTTTAAAATTGTGATGGCTGTTTCGATTCAATGGGTTTAAAATTGTTAGCTACGCTGAATGAATAAAATGTGGGGTGGGGTCCATCATAAAAAGATAAGGTTTAAACATCTCTTCATACATTTTCTATCACAATCAGTATCAGCACTGTGTGAGTGTGTAGTTTCAAACTGTGATTTAAGTAAAAACAATAATTTTATAATATAAGTAGTTATTTATAATAATATGTGGTGATTGGTGATTGAAATTGAATTGAATTGAAAGGGAAGAGGAGAGTTGGAAATGAAATTGAGAGAGAAAGAGAATGAAAGATCGTCAATGGGGTGGGTGCTTCCGCAGAGGACGCAGAACATAAGAGAGGCGTACGAGGTGGGAAGGAAGCTGGGGCAGGGGCAGTTCGGGACGACGTTCCTGTGCACGTGCCGCACGAGCGGGAGGAAGATGGCGTGCAAGTCCATCCCGAAGCGGAAGCTGGCGTGCAAGGAGGACTACGAGGACGTGTGGAGGGAGATTCAGATAATGCACCACTTGTCGGAGCACAACCACGTCGTCCGCATCGAGGGTGCGTACGAGGATTCCTCTGCTGTGCATCTGGTCATGGAGCTCTGCGAGGGTGGAGAGCTTTTTGATAGGATTGTGCAAAAGGGTCATTACAGCGAGCGACAGGCTGCTCGCTTGATTAAGACCATTCTTGAGGTTGTCGAGTGCTGCCACTCGCTTGGAGTCATGCATAGGGACCTCAAGCCTGAGAATTTTCTCTTTGATACTGTTCATGAGGATGCTAAGCTTAAGGCTACTGATTTTGGTTTGTCTGTTTTTTACAAGCCAGGTCTCAACTACTGTTTCTCACCCTCACCTCCACCCTTTTGCTTTTCACTGAATCGGATTAGTCTATGTTTGGTTAAGTTAAATGCATAACTTACAAATAAGTTCGTGGAGAAGCTGTTAAGAGATTCTTTTTGGAAATTAGTTTATGTACTTACCAAAAAAAAAAGTTTTTTTTTTCTCTTCCTATGTTCTTTTTCATAAGTGTTTACATTTACCAAAATAGATTCTTTGTTTCTGATTCTCTGCCGAGGGATATTCTGGGTTCATCTAAAAGAAAATATTCTATTTCAACTTTTTTTTTCCCCTTGAAATTGGGTGAATAGGTTTTTTTTTTTTTTTGGTTTGTTAAATTTGCTGGGAGAAGGGTCTGATTATATTGCTGGGTATGATTGGTTGCTGACTGGATGGGATTAAAGAAGCCAAGGGATGGGTGTGGGGATTAGTTGTGGTTGTTTGTGTTGTTTATTTGTTTTTGAAATGTGACCAATTTGAGAAGGGAATATTGCTTCCCTTTTCTACGGGGTTGACACACTAAAGTGGAACCTCAAAGAAGATAGATAGTCCACTGGTGCCGTGTTTGACGTATGAATTACTACATTTTTCTGTTCTCCTTTTTCATGCTGTCCATGAAATTGAGTAATAGAGCTTGGTGTTGTGTGAGAAATCCCTGTAGGCACTGAAGAATGAGCTCGATTAGTTGATCTGAGGCAGATTAAAATGGGTAAAAAAAGGAAAAGGAGTTGAAATGGGATAAGGGAAGTCAGTATACTATTACTACTTTTTATGTTCCATGGTTTTGGTGTCTTAAAACATTAACTTTTGGCAATTCTAACTGCCATGATTTTGGACTCTGGAACCTGTATTTCTATATTAAAGTAATTTTTTAGGGCTATGCTATATTTAGTGTGCTTTGCGTGCAAAACTTGTGAAAAGTTGAAATCATTACTATCTTCTTAAATGGAGTCTTATAGCTGCATCCTTGTGGTTGTCAGTTGACTCGAATTCCTTTTGTTACAACAGTCCTCTTAAGTGCTGAGAAAAGGTGCACTTGTTTTATCTTGGTGCAAATTCTGAATGAAGAAAAGTATTTTCTTGGCAAAACATACTTAGCTATTTAATATTTAAGTAGAACTTATGCAGTCTTGTCTTTTAGTTACAAGTCGTATTTTATACCTTTCTTAATTTCAGTCATTGTTAGATCAACTGGAAATGCTTTCATGCTGTGTTCCTATGCCTAACACAGTGAGATGCTTTTCAGGTGAATCCTTTTGTGACGTTGTTGGGAGTCCATACTATGTCGCACCAGAGGTCTTGCGCAAGAACTATGGACCAGAATCAGATGTGTGGAGTGCAGGGGTTATTCTGTACATCTTATTAAGTGGGGTGCCACCATTTTGGGCCGGTAGTTATTTGTTATTCATATGCTAAATTATCAGTTGGGGATTTTAGCAAATTACTTCATGTCTTTCTTTCTTCATTGATAATACTAATCTGCAAATTGTTACCTCCAGAAACCGAACAAGGGATCTTCAGACAGATTTTACAAGGAAAACTTGATTTTCAATCTGAGCCTTGGCCTAGCATTTCAGACAGCGCAAAGGATCTAATTCGGAAAATGCTTGATCAAAATCCAAAAACTAGGCTTACAGCATATGAAGTACTCCGTGAGTCTCTTAAACTTCTTATTGAGCATTTAACATGATCAAGTTTGAATGTTACCACAAACAATTCTTAGAATTTCTTAACATCTATACTCTGTCTTTCTGTTTCAGGCCACCCATGGATCGTTGATGACAATATTGCACCTGATAAACCTCTTGATTCTGCAGTTTTATCACGTCTGAAACAATTCTCTGCAATGAATAAATTGAAAAAGATGGCATTGCGTGTAAGGCTTCTTTACACCTTTTTGCTAAGGCTAGATAATTTCTCTGTGCTTGTTGAAATTTCAGATTTTAGATATTGAGGGAAGAGGAGAGATAAAACAGAATGAGTAACTAATTAGAGATACAAATCATGATTAGCTATGGAATTACTGTAACTAATCCTTAGAGCTAATGCGGAAACAGGAAAACTAATTGTAGAAGATAATATAAGATATGATGATATATTTTTGGATATTTTCATATATCCCAACAATGCTTATATGCTGAGCATGGATGAACAAGTTTGCTTTTGTGAGTACTCAGTTGGGTGTCTTCCCTCCCATTACAATGAAATAGTGATCATATGCATTTATTGTTAGAATTTTGGCTAAGCCATTTTTCTTAGTTTATCAATTTATTATGCATTCATTTTAATTGGAATGCATTGATATGTAAAGATTTTTTACACTGTCAACTACTAATGGACCATGAGGCAGTCTCATCGTTATTGTTACATGACTTTTATATATGAGCCTTAAAATTGGAAGACAAGACTTGCAGTTGCAGAGGTTCAATTTTGAAAGAACTTGAACCATTGCTTTCATGGAAGTTTTGGTTGCTTTAAGGAATGCCATTACCAAGGTTGGCAAGCTAAGATGAATAGAATTTGAAACTTGTTGGAGATTTTACATTGACTAGTAATATAACAATAATATTGTATGTAAGTGAGGAGCAATTTTACCCTTATAAGTTGGTTCAGTTGAGTTATGCCCATAACCCTTTTTCTAAGAAAACTAGTTTATTCATATTTCTTGTTCAAATTGTGATTGCTTGTTTTTTTTTTTTTGGTTCATTGTTGCTATGTTAATTAAGTTTTCAATTAAATTAACCACAAATCAGCAAAAATGGAATACTTAGCAACGTTAGCCTGCACTTCAAGCATCCTTATGTTATCTGTAGCTCCTAAAACATTACAGGTACATAGTCTTCCTGGAAACAGGAGGCTGAAAGTGATTCATTTTTTAGTCTTGTGAATTTCATCCTAATATCACAACATTTTATAGGTTTTGCTTGCTTAATCCTAGGTTATTGCTGAGAGGCTATCTGAAGAAGAAATTGGTGGTCTGAAAGAGTTATTTAAGATGATTGACACAGACAACAGTGGAACTATAACGTTTGAAGAGTTAAAAGATGGCTTGAAGCGAGTGGGATCTGAACTAATGGAGTCTGAAATCAAGGATCTTATGGATGCTGTAAGATTCTCTGAAATGCTAGTAACAGTGTAACACTTCTGAACACATCCTTTGGTGAAATCTATGTAGGTTCCACTAAATTTGGATGGGGACTAACTAAATTGGGAGTGGGACCACATAAATTTCATCCAACAAATAAAGTGTATTTTGAAAAGTGTGTTATTAGCATTTTCTTTTCCTTTGGTTCAATTATGTTTTCAGTTTAGTTCATTGTGGTTTGCCTTTAATTTTTGAACCTGACATAAGATCTTATTGTTTGGCATGTGACAGGCGGATATCGATAAAAGTGGGACAATTGATTATGGTGAATTCATCGCTGCCACTGTTCATTTGAACAAGCTGGAGAGAGAGGAAAACCTGGTGTCAGCCTTCTCCTATTTTGACAAAGATGGTAGTGGTTACATAACCATTGATGAGATACAACAAGCTTGTAAGGACTTTGGTTTAGATGATGTCCACATTGATGAAATGGTCAAGGAAATTGATCAAGATAACGTAAGTTTTCTTTTAATGAGCATAAAATTTCTAAAATTCATCTTTCTAGATTATATGCCAGTGGAGTTACTACCTTTACCCCCAAAATGATTGTAGTTTAAGGTTTTTATACACAGATTAAGAACAACAATGTATTTTAATACAATTTTAATACTTCTTTCATCTCATAATAAATGTTGCATTAGAAGAAAAATATAAGTCTTAAAATAAGTGTTATGTTAGCTTTTCAATGTAATATTAATTACATTTTTTCTATCTGCCTCTAATAATATTATGTAAAAAGAGATTTTTGTATTGCATTATTTTAATACTTCTTTCATCTCATAATAAATGTTGCATTAGAAGAAAAATATAAGTCTTAAAATAAGTGTTATGTTAGCTTTTCAATGTAATATTAATTACATTTTTTCTATCTGCCTCTAATAATATTATGTAAAAAGAGATTTTTGTATTGCATTATTTTAAGTAAAGAAGATTCATTATAAGGTTAATTTTGTAAAATTATTATTCTCTTTCATTTATTTACTAGCTTTTCTTAAATTGTGTAAAATAATTTAAGACATTTATTTTGAGATGAAAGGAGTAATATAACATCATTTTCTTAATAAATGTATTACTTTTAACCATTGTTGAATAATTTATGAAAGAAAAAATTAGAAAAAATATAATTAATATTACATTAAAAAATCAATACAGTTATTTTGAGACATTTTTCTATACTAAAACTACATTCAATTTGAGATGGAAGAAGAATTTGTCATGTCGTGCCAACTTGTTTGTTAGGTATTAGTGGGAATGTTTGTGCTGCAGGATGGGCAAATAGATTATGGAGAATTTGCTGCCATGATGAGAAAGGGCAATGGAGGAATTGGAAGGCGAACTATGAGAAACACACTAAATTTAAGAAATGCTCTGGGATTAGCAGACAATGGGTCCAATCAAGTTATTGATGACTACTTTAAGTAGTTATTTGGAGACAAAATTGACAAAACATAATATAGTAAGATTCAGCGTTATCTGTAGCTGCTTGACCAAATATTGCATATCTATTAATAGACCATCTTTGCTAGAAAGTTTTCATCTTCATCTTGATGAGGTCCATGGAAATGTGTCCAACAACGAATTGCAGCTCCTTAAATTTAACCATACCCCACTTAAACACTTACTCACGCTCGTTGTAGTTACTTAATTATGGTCCATTTAACTGTAATCGCAAGGTAATAATAAGACATATTTGCCTGGAGAGTGGAGAGGATCCAAATTCATTCAATGTCCTTTGAATATATTACCAAACAGTGATAACTCTAATCTGTCTGCAGTCCTGTCCTCATTGCATTATTCTGTCATTAGCATTGTAAAACCTTTTTTAAGAATATTTTTTCCATCGCTAATCAAGTTGATTCATGGACAGGTGATTGATTAGACTGTGATAGTTAAGAATTGATTACTAAGCTAATAAACCCACACAACAGTTATTGTGTACCCGTTCAGAAAGTATCACCTAGTTTTTTCTCTACAAGGTATCATGCCATTACCTTATTTTAGGATGAGTTAAAATTTAATGCGCGGTTATTGTGAAGATTTTATATCATGATCTAGGAATATATTGATATGAACTCTTTTACATGGGTATTAAAACTAAAGTTCTTTTAGGATTACTGAAAAAAAATGTTTGTATCTAGAAAATTAAGAATCTATCATTTTTTGGCCCCTCCTTCTGTTTAAAGGTAGATGAGTTGAAAAAGTTGGTACAATCATTATCTTCTTTCACTAGCAACAGTTGGCATCATGGATGACGTATGATATGAAAGAAAAAAATGTCTCACAAATGCTGTGGGACACCCTTCTTTTTTTCTTTTCTTTTTTCACCCAAACAAACATTAGTTAGAGAAATTAAAATCTCCATGCATGTCCTGTTGCGAGAGTAAGGTTACTGAAAAGACAAGGAGAAAAATCACCTTGAATGCAAGGTGGATTCTTTATCAAGGTATTTTCTTGACAGTGATTAAGGCACTTCACCCGTTCTTAAAATAATATTTCGAAGTTTTTTCCGTATTACAAACTTAACCTAATCTATTTCTTCCATTTGGTTGACGGGAAAAATGTTGTGAATTATAAATGTGTGTAATGTTGTGAGCCTTTCTTATGGATCATCTTAAATTTGTAAAATTGATTTTAGTTGAATATGACATTTTTTTTAAACTAAATGAATATATTAAGACAAAACATATTCTTACATAAAGTTAGAGCTAATGACTAACTTTTTTTTTTTTTAATATTTTCGGTAAAATTAATTTAAATGACTTTGAATTAAAGTGATTTATGTTTATAGTTTTCGTTAATCTTAAAAATAATTTTATTATAAGGCATAATATAAAATACCAGCCTAATAAAAAGGGTTACATATTTATTTTCCCAGTTTTACACGAACATGCTCTAGAGTAAACTTAATTTTGACTAGAAATAACTAAATTCTATTTATTTTTTTTGTGTTATTTCAAAAATATCATTCCGAGAATATAGTTATATCCTTGAAACAAACTCCCTTAATAGAGCCCATGACCCGTTGCATAAAGGGATCCTTAACCACTTAACTTGTTTGACTTAAGAAGAGCCTCTGGTTTTTTCACATTTGTTTTATAAATTGTGCACACATTACATTTTCAGATCAGATCATGATGTAACTTGAATGTTATACATTATTTTGACTCTGATTATTTTTTTTATTCTGAACTTCAACGTTATATCTTAGATTTTTTTTTTTGGTTTAGATATTTTAAATACTTTTAATACTATTGTCCAATTAAAAATAATTTTTTTACTTTGATAGTTTATATAACAAAAGTCAACATTAAATATCGTCATTAATTACCAAAAGCAAATTAAAAATAATATCAAAAGTATCTAAGTACCTGTATTTTATCCTTTAATAACACTTCTAATTATTATAAGATTAAAAAAAAAAAACTATATTTGCAATTGTTCACGGAATCTTGAAGCGAAGATTAAGTTACTCTCCTCACAATAGCATGTATTACAAATTGGTAATAAATAAATGGAAGAAAACACACCTTGATGCTTATTTCATTTCAATTACTTGCCCCCTCATAAATGTTATATGATAAGCATGCTGAAAATAACATAGTAGCATGTCACAATGGTCAAAATTAAACTTTCTCACTTGCCTTAGGAGATGCCAAGGGAAACAAAATAAGCAACTCTGGCTCAGTGTAACCTGGTTTAGACCGTGGTGATGGATGCAAATAAAATCTCCTCTCTTTGATGGCCTTTTCTTCTTCTTCAGTGTTCAGTTCTGCCATCACTGACTCTTCCTTCTTTTCATCTACCATAATACTCAACTGGGAGAAGAGTGTTGAAGGGGTGGTGGGGCTTTGAAGAAGACTAGAACAAGCTGATCCAGGGCTTGGAGGAAAGCTAGAACTTCTTGACTTTGAGGGTGACATACATGCACCTGTCTTGTAATGAAAAGTTGGTTTAAGAATCTCAAGTTTTGGCTTCATGTACTTCCTTCTCTCATGCAGTTTTGAGGTTGTCCTTTTCACAGTGGCAACCTTTGTTGCCTCTCCTTCTTTTGGTTCTGAGGGACCTGTTAAACGTTGTACCACTTCCCTGAATGCATCTGAGTTTGTCTGAACAAAGGTGGTCAGTGGTTTGCAATCTGATGTTGCAGAATGGATTGGTGGCTTCTCCATTCTCACCACTTCATTTGACATCAGATTTACACCACTCAGCATATAATCACCTGCAATATTCATGATTGGTGGTTAAATTAAGATAAACAATATATTCACTTTACAGTATCATCTAATCCCAACTTGTCATGTATAATAAATTTATTGATTTTTAAAATAACTACCTTAAAAATCATAACAAAGATGATTTCTAATTAGTTGACAGTATAAAAATGTGTACATTGAAAAAACTTTTATATTGACAGTTCTTAAACTAAACTCAAACTATAAGCAAACTTGCACTCAACAGAAGGTGGAAATCAGATACAAAACGATCCATGGCATAACACAAGAAACGATAAATACCATTCATATGATAAAACATTTGCAAACTCAGACAAAAAAGAAAGAAAAACCATTTCAGGAAAGAGTTTCATTTTAAAAGAAAAGAAGCTTGATGAAATTATATAGTACTATATGATTGGAAATCCATGTTAGACCTATTTAGCTGAGGGCTGTAAACAAATGAAGACTGAAATAATTTGATGACCCACATCAAATGTTTTCTGTCCTGTCCAAAGCATGTCATATCAAATAATTCTGTGAATGGGGTATGGCTAACATTGGTTTAAGAGGATTTCTTAGGAACTGTGTCCATAAACACGGGACATGTATGTGAAACTCCACAACATACAAATTCCCCTCAATAATGTTCAAGGTGGAGGGTAAGGGTTGGCATTTATTGACCCGACCATGGTGAATTGTGTTTTTCTTTTAATAGGATGTGGATGAGATTTTGCAGCTCAAAACATCATGCCTAACTGTCTATTACCTGGTTTACCTGTTTCTCATTGACTCTTAAGGTTTTGGAGTTGGACTTGACTGTCTTTTTTTTTTTTTTTTTTTTTTCTCCTCTCTCTCTGTTCTCTCATTGATTGATACAGTAACTCACAAATTTAGCCAGGGAGCACAGACCAACTTCTAACTTTCTTACCTCTAAATAATGTTATTTTTATGTTTTAAAAAAAATAGATGTGCAATGATTTAATTTCTATATGGCTCCAGCTTGAAAAAATTGCATCCCATGAAATTTCTGACACCCTGTAAAGTTGCAAAATATTACTAGAGTTTAAGTGAAATTGGGCGCAGATATGTTAAGCAGACTATTAGATTCAAACATTATAAATGAAAAAAGAAAATAGTTGGGCCAGATTTTTCGACAAAAAAATAATATAAATAAAATCAATAAATACTTTACACTGTTATAGTAAAAAAGAGAGAGATTATAGTGTCCTATTTAGCTTAAGAGCTTAAGTTTTAACAAACACTATCATGGATTGGACACAGAACTCGACATGATAAAAAATTGGTCCTGCATTTTCTCTTTTGATACAAATTTCATGTAAAATTGAACCATTAAATTACAAAAGAAGTAGAAACCAACCCAAACTAGCATTGGACATCAATATCGAGTCACACATTGTTTCTATTTTGCGTGGTATTCAAGGGAAAGGTGACATGAATCAAAGCCATACGATACAACAACATGTCTAATTTCCATAAAACCATAATCAAGAAACTCGGAAACAAAAATGATAAGAACCGGTTGAAGCCTACCTAAGGTGGTTTGATGGTAGTAAAACAATGCTGCAGCTGCTGCGATCTTAGTATCCAAAGAAGAGAAGAATTTGAGAAAGAAAGGAAGAGGAAGAGGGAGAATAAAAAGTGTGAAAGAGAGGGAGAGGGGTATTGGAAGTGAGTATAGTTAACGATTTCTGGTACGAAGGTTGGGACAGAGAATCTGTGACCTCAGACATTAGCTTTGCCACATCAACTACATGTTGTAAAGGGTAATGTACCATACCACTTTTCTTCTAGTTACTGCCAAAAATGGATTGCCTTAACTCACATTCAAAGAAAAATCAATGATTCCAAAGATAGAGACAACTTGAGGATTTTTACCTTTTTTAAGATAACGGCCCTCTGGAAACCAATAACTACCCTCTGTCTACAGCCATTTATTTTGGAATGTTATCTGCCTAATTCACCTCTAAAAGGTTACAACCACAAATATGGTAAAAGGAAAAGCAAAAAATGGAATAATTTACTTTAGAAAAGAAAAAAAATATGTATAATTCCACTTGATTTATAACTTTTGTCTCAAAAAAGTTTTCACACACTCACTTAATAAATCCTTCTCATAATAGGATGCTTAACTACTCAATTAACTTATCAAATTTTTTCATAAAATAGTTTTAAAATGCGATTAGCATTACATTTTATTTTATTTGAGTACTTATACACTACTATTATTTTTTATAAGATTCGTTGTCAAATGTATTATTTATTTATAAGAATATTCTTAAATAAAAATAAACCAAAATACACATATCTTAAATTCCGACCTTAATGTCGATTTTATAAATATGATGGATAAAAAAAGTTAAAAGGGATTAAAAAAATCAATAATGTTAAATTAGCCCTAAAAAGTTATGCAAATTGGTTGTAAATTTAATTCCTCTAATTAAATTCTTAATCTTTACGAATTGGTTAAAAAGGTCTCATACATAATACCAGAATTGTTAACTTCTGTCTGGTTGCATGACCATATGTTGCTTCATTCACGAGCAACTTATTTCTCAAGGGGAAAAATTGCAGGTTACGTAAAGACAACTAACCTGAAATTACTTGAATTTTTCTTATCAATAAAAAGTATAATGGCGATAGGATTGAACATTGTACAAGTCACATAAAGATGATACTGCTAACTACACATTCACATTTAAGGAGTGTTGGGATTCAAACAAGTCCCACATTGATAAAATATGACAAATAATAACAATTTATATAATACAAACATACTTCAATGATTGAGAGACTTTTTGGGTGATGACCAAAAGCAAAACCGTGAGGGCTAAGGCTCAAAGCGGACAATATCTCATCATTGTAGAGTATGTTTGTGTAATAACCTAATAAAAACAACCCTCATAAAATATCCTCTCAGACAAATACCATAAAAATACCCCCATGAGTGGTATCAGAGTGACAACCAATAACCCTATAACCCCATTCCGCTGCATGAAAGGTTAGGTCCCTTGTTTGAGAGGAGGATTGTCCCACATCGATAAAGACCAAAAGCAAAACCGTAGTGTCTACTCACTCCCTTCTTCAAACTTCATGATGTGGGACTTTGGAGGATACCCACACACTTTGGGCACAACATTCTAAATCATGTCACCATATTTATTATCCTAATAGGCATGTGAACACAACAAAACATAAGTTTTAACCTCCATAACAACAAATTTAATATTTATTACAATGCTAAATCAAGCCGTTTTGAAGATCCAAAAGCAGGCTTCACAAATGTAAATGGTAAAAAAATGCCAGTAATATATTTTTTAACACTAATATTGACTATTTATGAAATTACAAAGTTTTACAAATCCTACTAATTAATTGACCTTTATTCATAATTTTATAATTTTCATTAAATACTAAAGAACTACACACAATACAAATGTTTGCTTTATATTGATATAATTTATAATAAATAAATATTTTAAATATATAAATTATAATATAATTAAAATTTGTAATAAATAACTTATCTTGAATATATAAATTATATTATAATTAAATTTTGTAGTAAATAAATATCTTGAATATATAACTTATATATTAAATTTGTAATAAATAATTTATATCATAATACAAGCTTATTTTTAATTATTGAATTTTTAAAAAGAAATATTGAACTTAATATAAAACAAAAATAAAATCAACTAAAAACATTTTCATTAAAAATAGTTCCTAAGAGCGATCTGTTCAAAATAGATATTCTAACTTATTTATATATAAAAAGGAATTAAAAATATATATATAAGAATTCAATATGAAACTAAAAGTATAAAAAAGAAATGATAGGTTGAAAAAAAAATCTAAAAACACTCTCGATTAATAAAATCAGCTAAAGAGGCTCTTTGATTCATTCTTGTTGACACTTGTTAGGATACAAACAAGTTCTACATCGATAAAATAAGACAAAAAATAACAACTTATATAATACAAACATACTTCAATGATCGAGAGACTTTTTGAGTAATGACCAAAAGCAAAATCGTGAAGGCTAAGACCCAAAACGAACAATATCTTACAATATTTCATTATTGTGAAGTATATGTAATAACCTTATAAAATAATATTCATAAAATATCCCTTCATTGCTTAAGGCAAAGCATAAAAACAACCTTATAAACTCAAAGGTAATAGGGTTCTTCTAGTTCCAACCAATAACTCCATAACCCCTCATAACTCATGTAATATACAAAGACAGATTCTGCTGCATGAAAGGTTAGGTCCCTTGTTTGAGAGAAAGATTGTTGGGATACAAACAAGTCCCACATTCGATAAAATAAGATAAGAAATAACAACTTATATAGCACAAACATACTTCAATGATTGAGAGGCCTTTTGGGTGATGACCAAAAGCAAAACCGTGAGGACTAAGGCTCAAAGCAGACAATATCTCATCATTGTAAAATATGTTTAACTATCATAAAATATCCTCTCAGACAAATACCATTAAAAAAAAAAAAAACCCATTAACACTCTCCTTCAAGGCCAAAGTCATATTTTACTCCATCTAAATTTGGTCACATAAAAAGTTATAGCCTTTTTGGCTATGCAATGTCTATCTCCATGGATATCCTTGTCTCTGGAATACTTCCACTACAGAACAATCACTCTAACCATTTATTGTGTTTATTTTGTCTGCAATGTGCAACACTGTATCATGAGATGCCATTGGACTTGGGTTCTGAGTGAGACAGGGAATACTTTTCCATGAGCTTGGCAAGCTCCTCATTGAACCTTTCCTCCAACTGCACCTTTTCCTCCCAGTGCCTCCTCGTCATTCCAGCAACATTGTCCTTATGAGCTTCACGGAGTTTCTCCTCTTCAGCAACAAAGTTTTCCATTTCTTTATCTTGAAACTCAACAAACTTTAGATATTCATTCACCCTATCATCCAAACAAATCAAAAGTTATCATTGCCCAATCAGTAATATAGCACAAGTGCACAACCAAAACAACTGGATGTCTATATTACTTTTTTTAACATCAAATTGATGTTTTGCAACATACTTGCACAAGATGTGAATACATAATTAATTGGGATTATTCCAACTGAATTCTCAAGGAATGACAAGTGCTTACTTGACTCTCCCTTCCTCTTCACTTGATTGCTTCACCTTCTCACGTTTCTCTTGCTGCATTCTCTCAAAATCTTCTTCCTTTGCAGCCCTTGAATCATGAATGATTCTGATCTGGTCCTTAAAAAATTGTTCTTGCATGTACATCTTTCATCGACAAAGTATCCGATGGTCAGAAAAAAATAACAAGAAGAAATACTTCATAACCTAAATCATCTGAGTGAAATGAATAAATTATATTTACTTTTTGATAGCTAGAAAAATGCAAACCAACTACGAATGGCATGAAAAATGATTTATTATGCGAGAGAAAAGGCACATAGAACAATAGCCAAATAAGATCACTTCTTCCTTCTCTAATTTGATAGGATAGACTCAAGTTATTTTGGTACAAAGTCCATCATAATATTCAAAACCATCCGAGTCATGAAGAGAAGGAAAAAGTGCAGGAGTTTAGCTTATGCATGCTGATGAAACTTCAGCATTTGTACTATAAAAATTCAAATTACAGCTAACACCATTCAGTGAAACAAATAATTCTGAAACACACACAAACCTCGACTATAAACAGCTAACAGCACATGCCACAAGCAAAACAAAAAAATGCATCTACCAACAGTTTTTCCATTAATCTAAATCACCAAAAAGCTTGTCAATATCAACCAGTAGTATTACCTCTTCCTTGTTCTCTTCATGCTGCATTTTAGTCCTTAACCTGACAATGCGATTTTCCTCCATTGTCCTTCGCAGCTTCTCAGTCACTATACCCAAAGATTCTTCAAGAGCTTTTGTTTGTTTTTGTTTTTTGGCATCCCTGTCCTTAAAATAATTAAGTAGCTGGTTGTCCTCATTCATTTGTCGAAGTTGGTTTACAACCATCTCCTGGTATGACCTCATGTTATATTTGAGTCTAGATTTACCTATACAATTTCAGATATCCAAACAAAAATCAATATGCTGTCTCCATAGAAATTGAAGACATCAAACATGCAGCACAATAGAGGAAGGAAAAGAAGTGAAAAAGGAACCTTGGCAATGTCTGTTAAAAAAGTCCAGGTCTTCTTTTACTGCCATGTATCCATAGAGCTGTCTCCTGCCACCAGGGAGAAATAATCTACGGTTGTTACTAAACCAGGAATCTCGATCAGTTCTTTGTTCTACAAAATGCTTGTGTAAACGCTCGGCCTCAAGATAACCTATAGCTGAGGCTTCAAATATCAAAACACTCATCCCCCTATGACCTTGTGGCCCATAAGAGTGTCGAGCCTTAGCAGCAGCATATGCACTGAAGTAGTTAAGAAGCTCCTGGTTTCCCATACCTAGCCACTACATACAAAGATGAATATATGGATCAGAAATATTTTAGGAGAATTAAGAATGTTTTGCTACATGAACACAAGAGGTTAAAACAAAAAACAATACTACTATCACTAATTATTCATCATTTGATGCAAATAAGAGAAAAACAAGACAAAACTTAGGTGTAGTACTATAGGTGTTGTTGGTGTTCTCCAAACAGAATCGTATTTCGGTAATACATGTTAATATTTAATGAAATTATTTATTATGTATAGTACCAAGTTGAAACTCCAATTCTGATTAGATAATAACACCAACAACACCTATGCTTAAGTTTTATCCAAAAAAAGACACTTGTACCGTGTCATTTTCATCTTGTTCAAGCCTTGTATTCTGTATGACAACCATGGGAGGCCAAACGATCTCATGATCTTTTTCTTCATCTTTTAAGCCTTTCCATTTGCCGAATACTTCGCCAGATGGAATCACTGCAGAACCTCTTCTGCACAATTCCTCATCCAAAAGCTCAGCAAACTCCCTATGGATCTTGACCCTTTTTGACCCCTTTGTCTTGGCATGAGTCAACAGAGGCTGCAGCCCATTGTACCAATCAATAGCACCAGGACCACCCTTACAAGCAGGACAGTGCCACTGCCTTTCTTGTTCATTGATCTTTTCAATAGACAGGCCATCCAAATTCTCAAAGAAATCCTTAAACCACTTGCTCTTCTTACGAGTCTCGAGGCTCTTTTGACTAGTGTCAGAATCATAATCATCGCTCGCCAAATCATCATCCGTGTCTTCCATACCATCAAACCCGTCCTCCCCTTCATCATCAACACTATCATTCTTCACAGGAGACTCTTCTGTTACCAGGCTATCATCAACACTCTTGGTCTGCTTGGAACCAGTTCTAGATTGCCAATTCCACCCATGCTCCAGGGGAGGTCGAATTAACGGGTTAGAAGACACATTGTAGCTTTCAGATTCACTTGCAGTTATCTGGGGCCTCCCATTTCCTCTGCCAGCAGGTTTCTTCAAGTTAGCATTTTGGGAATGCCAAGGATTTCCACTCCCAGAAGCTCTTCCAAATCCTCCATCATTCTGAGTAACTGGATTTCGAACTCTAGAATTATGAACCGGAGGACTCCACGGTTTTGCAGCACTGCTTCTGGCTTTGTTCTTGGATTTCTTTGCATATACCACCCATTCACCATCATCTTGTCCTGACTCAAGGTTAACATCAGCCACACTTTGAGCTACTTGCTCAACTTTTGGAAGAGATTCCGATACTCTGGAAGAAGAATCATCATCATTGGTTGACGTAGTGAAAGGTCTACCACCGCCTCTTCTTGAACTCATTTTCTGGATCAACCACAAAAAACATAGAATTCATAATGTAAATAACTGAGGTGGCATAAAAAACTTCATACTTACAGTGAATCAAAATCAAATTCGTTCTATTATTTTACATAGCATATAAAACACATGATGCCCAAACAAACTATTCATTTCTCTTCAACGTAATATTCCATATTACCACACACTGTTGCAGATCAGTTGTAGCAGTATAGTTTTAGTCGGCATGATTAGTTAGATGAGTCACTTTCAAGTTAGCATACGAGCTAATCACCTCAATGTTTCACATTCAATAAATTACCAAGTTAGGATTAATTATTTTCTTAATCAATGTAGTTTCATAAATTTTATCTTTTTTTAGTTTATATAGTTAAAAATGTTTTACTTTAGTCTATATACATATTATTTGTATTTCTTTTTTGTTCAAACTAAAAGATAAATTTTATGAAATTATAAAAATTAAAAAAAACAAAAAACTATATACTAAAATATATATATATACTATAATTATTTTTAAATTATAGGAACTATAAAGTAAAATTCATAAAAATATAAATACTATATAACTAATTAAATCTTTTAGTTATCAGTTGTCCTGAAAAAAAAAATTATCCCCGTTCAACTTCGGAGTTCGAAGCAAATTGTAATTTTGGTCTCAATAAGAAAAAATAATTTAATTTTCATTCTTTCAAAATCTAAAATTACTATTTTTCGTCAAAAACATTTACTTTAAGTTAAATAAATAATATTTATTTCATGATCTAAAAATAATTTTAGAAGTATTACATAATACCAGTGATTAGTGAGAGTCAAATGAGATAGTCAAAATCAACTATATATTATAAACACATAGCCAAACACACACTAAATACACAACCTTAACAAGTATGGATTATAGCGACCAGAAACAATTGTTTGAAAAATTTTAGGGATAAAAACCCAAAAAAAGAAAAGGTTCATAACTATAAGAATTAAAGCCACAATTTATTAATTTAAAATGAAAAAAAAAAAAAATCCATCTAAAAAAATTCCCTCTATCTATTACGTTTGTGAAAAGAAAAGAAAAAAGAAGGAGCAGAAGGCATGGATGGTAGAAGAGAAAAGGTGAGTACCGTGGAAGATGGGAGATCCGAAGGTGTTGGGCGGAGGTTCCCAAGTAAGGAAGGAGGAAAGATGTTGAAGTTGACTAAGCTTCGTCTTTCATATATTATTATTATATGTATATTGTGTCTTGTCGTCTATTACTATTTTTGGACTTTAAAATTTTATCAAATTTTATTTTGAGTAAATTTTACACGTGCTACTTTTTAACACTGTTCCTGACAACGGATCTACTTCCCAGATTCTTCCTTTCATTCAATATTTACCCTCTCTCTCTCTCTCTTTAGAAAATTAATCAATACTATTGAATTTATCTTCAGTACTAACAAGACGTAATTTTAATTTTAAAAATAATATATTTTTTTATTGCCTTTACTTATTTCAATTTCTCTTATCAGGTTTATTGTTTAATTTTATTAATATTTTAACTTATGCAAAATATATAGATTAAATATTTATTATATATAACTAAAATAATAACTTAGATTATATTATTCTGATTTTTAATTATAATAGATATATGTAATGTTTAAATATATAATTATATTTAAAATCTATAATTATATATTTTGATTTTTAATTAAACTATTGATCCGAATCGGGTATTAATCGAATCAATAATCTCTTTATTTGCTATCCAACAGATTTCTCATCTACAACTGTTCTAAAGATAATCTATATTGAAATTTTGTTTTCTGCACCCATCTTTTTAAATGTTACACTCATTATGTGTTTTTCAATAGTTTATATATATGTGTGTGTGATTAAATACAATAGAATGATGATAAAAATACAATTTAATCTAATATTATTAATTATTATGTCACTTTATGTTAGAACATGATTAGTATTTTTATTTTAATAGTTAAGTAATGAACATTTAATAATTGGATCAAAATTATAAATTTTACAAAATTAAAAATTAGAATATAAAAACCACAAATTAAATATATAGAAAGATCAAAAATAAAATTTAAAATAAAATTAAAAAAAATATCACTTCATCTCTCTAAACCAAACACTTTTGCCTTTTTAACGGCATTGCATTTATCTAATACATTTTAAACATAAATTAATTATTGATTGTTCAACTTTAATTTTAAGAATCAAATCTAAAAAAAAAAGTATTTATTTAATTTAAGTACATTTATACTATATCTATTTTAATATCATTTAATCATAGATTATATGTACTAATATTATTACAAAAATTAATAATTACTATAAAAATCAGAATTTTTTACGTAAATATTATTTTTAAAAAAAAAAAATACCCAAATAACCACTGTGCAGGTTTATTTGTTGTATCCCGTATGGGACCGAAGCCAACCCGACCGATCCCACCGAACACCTGAACCCAATGCCACTACCCGAACACACCGACCGCTTACCAAGCAAAAGGGGTCGGTCTAGTCGGCTGATCCCCGGGACTCCACCAGTATAATTAAAAACGGGATTTAAGCGGGAAAATATTATTTAATTAGAAGAGGTTTTAAACTTCCGTAAATTAAATAAAAAAATTGTAGTTTTTTCACCTAATTTAATAATTACAGGAGGTTTTTAAAACCTCCACAAAATAACCTCTATTATTTAACATTTTTTTTGTAGTAATTTTGGATTTGTATGCATTTATTTGTTTTTTTTCACCTTTGTATTATTTGATGATTGTTGTAATTTTTACTCAATTTTTAGATTTTTACCCACTTTTACATTTTGTTCTTGTACAAGCCATATTTGAAGCTATTGATAGTAGTTTTGGACATTCTTGATATCTATGGAAAGATAAAGAAGAGTTATAGAAATTCTTTGTTGGGAGTAAATGCCAGTTCAAATTTTAAGGGACCCAAAAATGCGTTGCAAGGTTGCAACCCTTTGTAGTATTTTCTGTTTGGTTTTAGATTGTAATGTTAGGATTTGTTTGGTGATGTAAATAGTTGATTTAGTAGGTTGAGCCTTTAATTAATCAGATTGGGTGTGACACCCTTACTACCCCAACACATATATAATATAATTTAATTAAGAAGAATAAACTTTCAAAGGGTTCGTAAAAGGGTTCACATAAACCTTCAAATCTGTTCTTTCTTCAATATAAGAGAATGACTGAAAAATAAAACTTGAAAGGTAAAATTTAAGAGTTTACAATTTTAAAATCATTTATTACAATACCAAATCCATATAAATATTCTGTCCTAGAAATCCTCTGCCCCGATGTCACACTATCAGAGCATTCCCATAATTTAACTGTTGAAATCACGTTTAACTGAGAAAGGAGTTTTCATTTACCTTTTGAAAGGCAGCAGTGTAGCATGATTATATCTACGGAAGGATCATCTAAGAAAGAAACAAATGTTCTTCACACGGATGCCACTCAAACGTCGAACTACAGGAGGCGCGGGTAAGAGGGAGGCGCGGATTCAGTTTAGGGTTTTCTATTTCTATTTCTTCGCACTGATGCCCAACATGATTATACAAATTCTGATTTTCTTTAAGAGGGAGGCGCGGGTAGTTTAAGGGGGGAAATATTTTATTTTAGAGAAAAACGGGATTTAAGCGGGAAAATATTATTTAATTAGAAGAGGTTTTAAACTTCCGTAAATTAAATAAAAAAATTGTAGTTTTTTCACCTAATTTAATAATTACAGGAGGTTTTTAAAACCTCCACAAAATAACCTCTATTATTTAACATTTTTTTTGTAGTAATTTTGGATTTGTATGCATTTATTTGTTTTTTTTCACCTTTGTATTATTTGATGATTGTTGTAATTTTTACTCAATTTTTAGATTTTTACCCACTTTTACATTTTGTTCTTGTACAAGCCATATTTGAAGCTATTGATAGTAGTTTTGGACATTCTTGATATCTATGGAAAGATAAAGAAGAGTTATAGAAATTCTTTGTTGGGAGTAAATGCCAGTTCAAATTTTAAGGGACCCAAAAATGCGTTGCAAGGTTGCAACCCTTTGTAGTATTTTCTGTTTGTTTTTAGATTGTAATGTTAGGATTTGTTTGGTGATGTAAATAGTTGATTTAGTTTTGGATTCGTATGCATTTATTTGTTTTTTTTCACCTTTGTATTATTTGATGATTGTTGTAATTTTTACTCAATTTTTAGATTTTTACCCACTTTTACATTTTGTTCTTGTACAAGCCATATTTGAAGCTATTGATAGTAGTTTTGGACATTCTTGATATCTATGGAAAGATAAAGAAGAGTTATAGAAATTCTTTGTTGGGAGTAAATGCCAGTTCAAATTTTAAGGGACCCAAAAATGCGTTGCAAGGTTGCAACCCTTTGTAGTATTTTCTGTTTGTTTTTAGATTGTAATGTTAGGATTTGTTTGGTGATGTAAATAGTTGATTTAGTAGGTTGAGCCTTTAATTAATCAGATTGGGTGTGACACCCTTACTACCCCAACACATATATAATATAATTTAATTAAGAAGAATAAACTTTCAAAGGGTTCGTAAAAGGGTTCACATAAACCTTCAAATCTGTTCTTTCTTCAATATAAGAGAATGACTGAAAAATAAAACTTGAAAGGTAAAATTTAAGAGTTTACAATTTTAAAATCATTTATTACAATACCAAATCCATATAAATATTCTGTCCTAGAAATC